AGAACCACACCACATCGTGTTCATCCTCTGCAGTAAGTAGATCAGACCAACCAATGGTAAATGAAAAACGATGAAATCAATCTTATAAAATATAAAATCTTGCAACTAACGAAAAAAATCATCCATTTCATACCGCCTTCACCACCAGGGCATCCCACAATTCGCTTGTCATAGTAGGCTTTCACAATAGCAGGAGCTTCCTGTGATGATACAGTACAGTTTGGTTAAGTTACATGTTATCAACAAGATGATATAATTGTTAAGAGTATCCAATTGTAGCCTAAAGAGACTGAAAACTGCTCACTCAAGCATCAAATGTCTAGATTATGTCATACAGCATGCAAAATCAAGACATACTATATGATTTCAGTAATTAAGAGAAAAGGTTTCTCAAGAGTGTTAAGAACTGAACTATCATGATATACAGACCACATGTTCTATATGACATGCGCAAATCTTCGTCGTGAACAGCATCATATGTAGTGAGCCATGGTAAACTAACAAAGACATCTTAGACGCTTGTTGACTCACCAAACCCAAATATGATTCAAAATCAATATAGATCAGTTAACCAGGTGGACTCGATTCAGTTCTGATGAGGCAATAACTTTCATGATACATGATCTGGTTATTTGAGATTGTTTATCAGCAAAATTGAATTAAATTATAAAGCTATTAATAATACTCGAGTGAAGGGAAGTGTCTCTTGGTTTGTGGGATGAGCACAAAGTCTATATCATGATTTTGGAAACACTGATGAGGTGTGAAGTCTATATCAAAGTGAGAATCACGTCATATCTCTGGAACAGAATTATAGAAACTAAACTAACCTTTGTTCCAAAAGGACCTTCAGGGAAGTTAATGTCAAGCAGCTTCTTTCCCTATCCGAAGAAAACAAGGACAAAGCCAAAGTCAATTTTCCTCAACTGGAGAGTGCATTGCCAAACAGATATATATATATATATATATATACTCCATTCTTATGCCATAAAATTATCCAGGAGTAACAGTCATGAATCATGATCACAAGTGGAGTTGCAGTAAAACACAATTGTATCATACTCATAATGCATAAATGAGAAGATAAAAGCAATCACCTCCAATTCAGCTTCAAGCTCTTCCTTCTCATGTCCAGTTGCAATGGGCATTACATCTTCCACATTCTTCCTCGCAACGGTATCTACTGCAAAGCACAGGCGTAACAACAATCATTCAAACAGAAAAACAAAATTGCAGAAAGATATTAGAGAAGGATCCTTCATATATCAGAAAATCGAATTGAGAGCGACATGAGTATCAAGCCAATCTACTTGTTTCATTTTGGCAACGAATTAAAAATCTCAGAGACCAAGACAGATTGATTTCTATATTCTAAATCTATGGCACGGGTATGAGACCTCCACAGCAGATAGTCTCAAGCCGAGATCTGAAAACAAAAAGAAAGCCATAGAAATGAGTTATCACCTGATTCGGAGCTGAAACGACGAGGGATAACGGACGAAGAAGCGGAAATGGCTGATCGATTGGCAGAGAGATAGAAGCCGACGGGTCTCGCGGTGGCGGCTATCGATCGACGAGATGAAGCAGCGGCGACATCGGCGGCTAGGGTTTTGAGATGAGAGGAGACGATTCTTCTCCACATGATGACGATGTCGATGACTCAAAGGGCTTCGACCTCGTGGCTTTGTGTCGTGATCTCAGGTCACAATTCGGAGGAATAGCGAAACTCTTAAAACGTTCTTATTTGGATTCTCTTCACAGATGCTCCCTTTTTAAGTGGACCTTTTGGGAGGAATTAGAGATTTGTAATTTGGAATTGGTCACTCTTACTTGGAATGAGTTCGTACGTGAGAGAGACCTGGCACGTGTCAGTTGATTCTATTAAAACCAGTTTACACAAAACCAATGGTCATGGATTAGACAAACATGATATGTTGTGTTTAGTTTTATTTATACTCGTTGATTTGATTTATGATGGTTTTGTATTATTTTTCATGTTTTTGTTATGTTTTGAGTTAACCCAATCACTAACACTAAAAATATGAATAATTTGTTTTTTATTTTATTTTATTAGGATATTAACACTCCACTTTATCTCGAGTTTTCTATTTCTAAAATTTAGTATGTTATAAATATTATGTTTGTTTACTTTTGTACTACTAGACTATAAACATGCATATGCATTTCACTAAACGTTAAAATTTGTATAATGTAAAATCGCATTTGCACCAAATAGATGAAAAAAATAATATGTATACTTTTTTACATATCTACTTTGTTGTGGTAGCATGTGAGCCTCATGACATGACCATTGATTATTTTCTATTATGTTAGTTTTGTAAATATAAATTATATTTTTGAAACAAACATATCACAATCCTTAAAATTTTCATGTTTTTCCTGCAATTAAATTTACATATAAAAACTCGACTTCTATTTGTTTTAAAAATAAACTCTAACTCTAATTTCTCATTAGCTTTCTATTATCTTAATTAATTTATATTCAGCTTTTTAATTGTAACACATTTTTAACATTTTTAAATAGGATCAATCCTTTGAATAAAAAGAAAAATATATGCTATTTAGAGTTAAATATTTCTTTACTCCATCTCCATTTTATATTCCAACTTTTTGACAACTTTTAACATCAAGTTATCACATACTAGGGGATATCCCAGGTTACGTTCGGGGATTTTGTTATAATTTTTTTATTTTCTTATGATAATTATATAATTTTATATTTGAGCATATAAATTGTTTACATGGCTCAAAGACAAACTCTAAATTATTAGAAAGTAAAATATATTAATGTCCTACAATCTTCAGTAACACATAAATATATGTCTTATAGTTTAAGAGTTACTGCATTCTTAGTATCAAATTAAAAAAAGGGTATAATCTTATCTATGTGCTCCGCCAAAAGAAATATGAACATTTGTAGTTAGTTAGCAGCATTTTATTGTCATTAACTTCACCCACAGTTATTGGCTTGATAACCTTGAAAAAAAGGTAGGTACTTTACCACATTTAAATCTTAAAACTCCATGTGAACATACATTTCATTTCTCATCTATCTCATCCGGTTTTATTTCCTTTTGCTAAGCCTTTAAACTCTTTGACTCCGTCTTATCACTATTATATGAGTCCTTCGGCTATAGTTATATTATACATGGCCATATGTATACTTTTACTTTAGCCACTTTAGTTAATGTTAATTTTCTTCACGTTATTTAATATACTCAAATTATTGATTTTCGTGATTTAATTTCAAAACAAATAAGTATACACAATCCATTGACCATCAATCTCTTTAGTATGAGGCCATAAACTATTAAAATTCAATTCCAAACCTTCATATTTAAACCCTTAAATCTAACTCTTACATGGAAAAGAAATTTAACACTTATAATAAATCATACATTTTTAAATGATTACATATTTTCTAGAATGAAAATATATTTTGTTAACACTTATAACAAATTTCAAATAAAATCATATGCTAAATATTAAACTCTAAACCCTAAACAATAAGATATTTTCTTTCATCCAAAACCCGAACCAAAAATTTTAAAAACTCGAATGGCTTTCATATTTCTAAACCCGTGAAACCCTAAAAAACTTTAAAAAACATGAAAAACCCAAACTCAACCCGGAAATCCCAAAGAAAAAAAAAGAATAGAATGTTGGGTGTGAATGGTAAACATTAGAGTAATTTAGAGTAAAAGCGAGAAGAGTAATTAAGAGGGAAGAAAAAATGATAAATAGAGTAAAAAAATGAAAAAATGGAGAAAAATGTTTTATATGTGAATGGTAGTAAATGAGTGTAAGTGAGAGTAAATGAAAGTAAAAATAAATAATGTTTCACTTATCTATTTCCCTCCTCCAAAAAGTGGAGTAACATATATCTCGCCAAGTTGACCCATATTGGCTGAAAATCAGATATTTTTTTTCCACCTGAATGGCTAGCATTAGAGTTTGTGAGAGTTAAATTTCTTTTCCACCTCTTTTTTTGAGATATTTACACTTAGAGTGACATTATGATTTTCACATTACAGAAAAAGGGACTTCAAAACAGAGGTGCACTTTGTCTTGAATGTGTGACATGTTTTTCCACATTTACCCTTAATGATAGGAAAGCGAATTTCAGATTAACCCTGTCCTTTTACCTTACAATCTGTTCACCGCCGGAGTTGTATCGAAGTCGGATTCGTGGACTGTGTCGCAATGTTTGAACGGAAATCGACTTCTTAAAAACTTTTGCGGAACCTATAATCTAAACGAATCTCGTCGATACATAACACAAAGCATCCTCATCGATAACACATAGCAGAAATTCAATTACGGATGGAACCTGATAAGTAATCTAGTCTACACTTTGTCGTCGGCAACAATCGGAACTTAATTTGCGGAAATCCACTTCCCCAGCTGCTAATCTCCAGTTCATTCAATTTGCGGAAATCTACTTCCGAAGCCGTGCTTGTACAGTTTCCTTTTGGATGGTTCTATTGTACAGTTTCATTCTGGATGGTTGTCTTGTACAGTTATATTGGTTGTTTTGTACAGTTACCTGCGGATAGTTCGTGTTGGATGAAATACCTGTCTAAAAGAAACCAAAGCAGAGAATAGCGATTTTGCAACTTTTAGTATCCAATCGCACCCGTCTATTTTTTTACCTCGCATTTAATCGGGTGGTCGGTTTTGGGACACGTTATAGGTGGTTGAGACATCCAACTCATCCGTACATAACAAAGCCGTACGTAGTTGGATAGTTTTTGTTGGATGAAACAACCAACCAAAGTTGAGTGGCGCCAATTTGAAAATTTTAGTACACAATCGCATCCGTTCATTTATGGAGACGGCATTTAATGACTGTTTCATCGCGTGGTCAGGGGTTGGGACACGTTCAAAGCATCCGTACACAAACAAGGGTTTTGTTATATTGGGTCTTGCAGCTAAACGGCTGTTTAGGCTTATTGAGTTTAGACGAAAGAAATTTAACCATGGAAGAGCATTGCTTGGTAATGTGTGGTGATTGGACGTGTTTAGATGATGGTCGCTGGGAGTTTACTATCGACAAGAGCAAGATGTCTAGAGTTGTTACAATAAGAGAAGATATGAACATTGAAGAGTTGAAAAACGGTGTCGTTGGTGAGTTCTTTGGTTTACGTCCTTCCGGAGTCACTGCCTCACTGAGCTACTGGCCACCTAATAGCACCGAGCTTGCCACCGGAATCACTACACCACCTGTCCTCTTGACGAATGCCGAAGGTATTTCATTCTTTTTCAAGCACTACCGTGTTGAGAGGACCGTTAACCTCTTCGTTACGTTCACTGACGGAGAGCGTACCTCTGTTTCTATGGGATACAACACTCCAACGCCGAGTCTTAAAAGGGTTTTCGACGAGGGATCCGGATCCGCTGGTGACTCAGTGAGGAGGAGCGGTAGTGTAAGAAGCTTCTCTTCACTTGGTAGTGGATTTGAGACACCAATTCAGGGGCGCAAGAAACAGTGTCCCTCTTCGAGCTTTGATACTCCTGCAGGTTACGTTTCCGGTCACCAAAACGTACGCTTTGACACTCCCGGATCATCCGGTGGGATCCCAATACAATTCGTGGAAGACGAGTTTATCGACGAGGTGGAGCGAATGGAACAGTATTTTCCCGATAAAACACCCTATGCCTCCGAGGAGAACGATCCAGATGACTGCTTAGGTGATTTGGCAGATGACAATGTTGACGTTAGGCCTGTTAGCTTTGATACAGAATTCTGGGTTCCATTTGTCCAAGATGTCTATGGTGGATCAAACGCAGTTGATGTTATGTGTCCACCAAGTGACGGCTTCAATGGCAAAGCGGCCGCGATGGGGAAGCACAAAGAGTACCTATGTACCAGTAATGATGCTTTCGATCATACAATTGTCTCCGGTGATTATGAGTCTAAGGATTTCAAAACTGAAACTCCTGCAAAAAACGGTGCTTCTTACGAACCACAGCCTCCATTCATCCCATGCCAACGTCCTACTATTCCTTTGGGAGAGATCGACGATGAAGAGTTTGACATACCTCCTCTGTTTGATGATACCACCTACGATAATGATGACATACCAGACTTGGATATTGATGAAGCTGCATGCAGAATTGAAGTAGGCAGACTATTTTCCAGCAAGGAAGAATGTCAAATTGCTTTGGCAATTTACGCCATTAAAGGTATGTTCCAATTCAAGCAGACGACGACAAAGCGTCACTATTTTATTCTTAGTTGTCCAGATTCTCGTTGTGATTGGAGGATAAGGGCTCGGGAAGTAGGCGATTGTGGTATGTACGAAATACAGAGGGCTCAGCTAAACCACAGTTGCTCCATCGACACACGTAATGCTTACAAGAAGAGAGCTTCTTCTAGAGTAATAGCTGCTGTTTTCAAAGCAAAATACGGTGATCCTGAGAAAGGTCCAAGGGCAGCGGAACTTCAGCGCATGGTGTTGGAAGATTTGCGTGTTAATGCTTCTTACATGAAATGTTATAGGGCGAAAGAGAAAGCAACTATAGAGGTTAGAGGCACCGAGGAAGAGTCCTATCTCAAACTGCCTACCTATCTGCACATGCTGAAGCTTGCAAATCCTGGTACCGTAGCTGATTTGGAGATAGATGTTGATGAAGAGGGACATAAGAGGTTCATGTACGTGTTTTTAGCTTTTGGTGCATCAATAAGGGGATTCCGGAAGCTTAGACCTGTAGTTTCAATCGACGGAACTCATCTATGGGGAAAGTACAAGGGAGTTTTGCTTACTGCCGTAGGTCAAGATGCGAACTGTCAGCTATTCCCTCTCGCCTATGCTGTTGTTGATGCTGAAGATGAGGAGTCCTGGACCTGGTTTTTGAAGAAATTAGAGAAGATTTTGGCAGACAGCCCTACATTGACTATAGTCTCTAATCGGCACCCGGCAATATATCCTGCGATGAAAGTTGCATACCCACGAGCTGTCCACGTTGCTTGTATTGTTCATTTGGCAAGAAACGTTGGATCAACGTTTGTTAACAAAGGATTGGCTAAATTAGTGAAGCTGGCTGCGTATGCCTATAGGGTTAAGACCTTTAATATGATTTTTGACAAGATTAGATCTACAAGTAGTGAATGTGCTAGGTACTTGGAGAAAGCTGGGATGGGTCACTGGACCAGAGTGTATTGCAAGGGTGAACGTTATAACATGATGACAAGCAATGCATGTGAGCAGCTGAACAAGGCGTTGAAGGAAGGCAGGGGTTGTCCAATCGTTGAGCTTCTCCAGTTCATCCAGTCTATGATGACGCGGTGGTTTAGTTGTCGCAGAAAGAAGTCGCTTAAGTGTCGTGGTGGTGTAACTCCAGAGGTTGAGAAACAAATCATGATACATAGGACAGAGGTTGTAGGAAGCTCTGTTAATTTGGTTTCTAATTGGACTTGTCAAGTCGTCGGACAATTTGGAGAGAGGAACCTCGTTCAGTTGAAAGAGAGGAAGTGTTCTTGTAAGAAATTCGACCGTCTCAAGATTCCATGTGGCCATGCTCTGCTTGCAGGAGACTCCCTAGGTTTGTTGCCAAGTAGTTTGTCTGGTCATGTCTTCAAACCGGATGCTTGGCAAGAGACTTACAGCGACATAATATGTCCTGAGGGTGACCCGAAAGATGAGGTAATCCCTGAAGATGTTGGTGAACTTCTTATCATGCCTCCAAGAAATCGTAGAGGATTAGGTAGGAGGAAGGTAGCAAGAATTCCATCCAAAGGCGAATTCCCTGTAAGTGATAAGATCCTTAAGTATAATATGACTCGTATTATAACCCCTCCTAAAAATTAAGAGTTTTGATCTTAATATAGGCAACTAAAGTGAAGAAGGCTGTTCCTAATCGATGCACCCGGTGTCATTATGAAGGCCACAATCGCACTACCTGCAAGAAAGACATTTGAAAAGCGGTTCGAACCAAGGAACACACATGCGGATAAAGTTATGTAATGGAGTCCTCTGTTTTTAGGAAACTCTTTTTTTTGGGAGACTATTTTAGATTGTGCACGAGGTGCTTGAATGGTGTTTTGCGTTTTTTAAATTGACGGTATGGAGACGGAGACTTTCTTTTGTAATTGAGGAACGACAAGGTGGCTGAACACGGAAGTTCTCTTATTGCAATGTTGTCCTTCTTTGAACTTGGATTTGCTCTTCTTTCTAGTTGTTTCTTTACAAAATAGCCAGCGTTTTCACAACATACATGAAACATTTATACCTCTGATGGCGGTTATGTGCAGACCCAGAGCTCATCTTTTACAGCATAATTTATTTTGAAGGTTCCAAAAAAAAGGGGCGATTGTGTTACACTGTCTTCTAGGTTTATCTGTGTAAGGGAAGGGCAAAACGACACCGTCTTCATGTGCAGATGTGGATGGGTTTCGCGTGGATGATATTGATAGCGCATGGACAATTTACCCGTGGATGATAAGCTTAGTCATTGGACATTTATGTAAGATTAAACTTGTCCCAAAAGTTTGGTTACAAAAGGCCGAAATGTTCTTGAGAGACATACAAACAAAAGGCTCAAGTTACAAAAGATTTAAACGTTATTAGTACCACATTAAGAAGAGCACGAGTTACATTGATCCTGGATAGCAACCTAGTTTCAAAAGTAAATAGGGAGGACTAGGTCGTGGTATAGGTCTAAAGCGTACTGCTTACGGAGCTGGTCGACCAGAATGTCTTTCATACCGGACATGTGAGGCGCAGGATCACCGGATGCATGCATTTCCATGAATTTGGCGGAAACTGGACCACAATCACCGCTGCGTTTGTTATTGTAGAGGTTAGGTACGCGGGTCCATGTATATGGTTTCAGACTGTTTGATTGGGTTGTAGAAACACACAGTTTGTGAACCAGGTATGGAAACATGTTGAGAAGAGGGCTCATCATCCTGTCGACCTTTCTCTTGGAATAGAGGTCAGGGTTAGGGTCAAGTAACTCTATTATCCCGAGGCTAATGTTTATTGCCAACCCGACCCAGTGCTTGTTGTTCCAAATCATGGGTGCATAGACAGTGTCGGTGTCTTTCCCCCAACTTCTACCCGGTGCATTGACATATGAACTTATCCGGCCTTCCCATCCGACCTGCATTTTTTTCTTTGCTGCAGAGAAAGATCTTTCTTTTGCCAAGATGTGGTTGATAAGGTGTGGTGAGCAAAAAGCACCGGCCTCAGACGGTGGTAGTGTTTGGTGTCTGTTTGCCAACCAAATCATCAAAACTTCCATGTGGTGCAGGTTTTGCGAGTGGATTAATAGTTGTAATTCGGCTTTGCATTATGCAAATTCAGAACTGTATTGGAGTTTAAAAATAGAGTGATTTGGATACCTGTGTCGTGACCCACTTCTGCAGTTGTGCTAGTTCTAGTATGAAGTTGTTGTCAAAATCCAGACGCAGATGACTTCTGTGTTCCCTGCGTGTCATTAAGCATAGCGTTAGAAAGAAGTGACACACGTTTAGTTTTTTAAGGTCGTGCGTCTAAACTTACAGTTTCGGTGACTCAATTAGAACCTTGTGTAACAGCTCAAACTCCTCCTCATCTAACGGTGGAAGTAGATCGTTGTATTGCCTTGGTTCTTTCAATCGCAGAAGCGCTGCAAGCTCTATTTCGGCGACTGTTGGCGTGTGTGTTTCTGTGGTTGGTGGTGGAGATGAATCACTGACCACGAGAGCACTTTCAGAGACCATTACGTCTTTGCCTTCACCACACAGCTACAATGTGCAACCGTTGTTAAATGTAGCCAAAACTTAATTCAGTGAAACGAAAGAAGGAAAGTAATATTAGGACCACTTACGTTGCTGTTGTCCCATGTTGGCTCTGTTGTGTATAGCTGCTTTAGTGATCATAGTTGAATGGAGTAGTTATTAGTAACAGTTGTGGCTGAATGTTCATATAAATTAAGACTTACCCTTTTCTCAAGCGACATCAGTTGTGGTGTTGTGTTTGTGGTTTGGTGGTTAACTGTTACTTCCGGAGAGGATTGTAAGATGACCGGGCAATTGCGGGGCTGCATATTACTGGATGTTAGATACCGTGATTCCTTCGTATTTTAAAGCAAGTATGTTGCTGTCTGAATACTTACATTGGTAAGGTCGAATATGGGTGTGACATTGGATAGTTCCTTGTTTGGCGAAAAAGAAAGTGTATTTAGACTTCCCGGTGTACTTTTAAATGGAGTTCGTTGAGAAGTATATGTAACTTACCAATAGCTGATCATCCATAGCGACTGCAGAAGGGCCTGGGGAAGTTTTGGTTGGTGTTTCATCAAAAAGTTGCTGCATGTTTTTGTTTTTAGAAGTCATATTCTGTGATCACAAAGGTAAAGTGTTATCGATTGTTGACTTCTAAATGGTTCTTTTTGTTTGTCACAATTTGGCCGTACCTTAGGTGTAGAGATAGGATTGCTTTCGAATGCCGTCTCTTTTGCAGTAGGAGCCAAAGTAGCAGTTTCCCGATTGGAATTTTATTCCCGTTTTTCAGTCTGTAGTTTTGAGGAAAAATATTGGCTCAGTGGTGGGCTCTGGATACATCGAGAGAGAAGTGGTTTAACGTTGTTTTTATGTAGGGTAAATAAACAAGCTTGTACAATAAGTTAATGTTTCAAGTTAGAGCCTTACGAAGCTGTCTTCGTCCATGTCGTGGTTGAGCTCCTGCACCTTGATTTCAGAAATGGCATTTATTAGTATCAAGAAGTATATAGATGAACAAATAAGAACTTCAATGTTTTGCTTGATCAGATTAGTGTTTACCTTATCGGTGGTGTAGTTCTTGGTTGGCGAGGCAAACAAAATTTCGGGGCAGCAATCATCTCCCTTTAGAGTGAAGCTCTCTGTTTCTATTTTTGGTACACGCCTTTTCTGCTTGTAGCAACGGTTACGGATATTTGATATCCTTACCGTTCTCCTAGTGTCCCGGAGAAGCTGCAGCATTGTCTTGTGTTTTGTAGTCAGCGACTCTATTTTCTTCGAGAGTTGAGAAACTTCTTGACGCAACAACTGGTTATTATGAAGTAGGCCCTCTAGCGCAACTGCATCTACTAAGATTTTCACCGTTTTCTTTTTTTGGCTGGAGCGCGTTTGTGTAACGTTGACTGGGTTGTTGTTACCATTTCTCTGCTGCTTCCTCCGAACGATGGGTTTATTGGGAACTCTTTGTTGCTTGGGTTGCTTCGGAACGAGAATAAGTAAGTAGTCTTCACCTCCTGGCCATTCCTGCTTCTTGAAAGAATGTCCGGCCGCTATTTTATTCTCCAAATATTCCAGCTTCCTATCAAGTTGTTCATCTGCCCATGCGCCGAGGGCATTTGAAGTGGACTCATTCTCATGTAGGAAAGGAGTTACATGCAACTGAAACAGATGTATTAGTGCATATAATTCACTAAAAGGAAAAGGGATTATGGAAGGTTTGGACACTTACATCATGGTCATTCTCTGCGAGTAGGACTGCATTTTGCGAGATGTATCCTTTGATGGGGATCGAAGGGCCCTCAATGGCAAGCATTGTTGGTTCCTCTTCTGGGTTCCGGAGTTTTTGGAGCAAGTTGGGAACAAGACGGAAAGCTAGAAGCTGCAAAGCAAGCGGGAATCCAGTGAGCCGGTAGCTGGAACTCTTGAGTTTCTCCCGTAATGTTTCAACCGGATCTTCAGGGTCGCCAAAAATCCTTATGCCTGGCTTCATGCTGTGGATAGTCCAAAAGAAGGATTCCCTACCCCATGGGAACGCCATGAAAGCATCAAGGTTCGCAAGCATTGTGACATAATGAGGAGTTGGCTTCAGCGGGAGGTTGTTTGCTTTCAGAACACCATCGACTATCAGTACCAGCGCTAACTTGAATTTCCTTTCAGGATCAATCAAGTTTTTTTCTTTGTCATCTATGAGCCCCTTGCCAATCTGCTCGCATGTTGTACTGGGGTTATCACCAATGATTGATTTCCATGCTTGATCTGGATGGTTGTCTTTGTCTGACACCTTATGAGGATGGTATCCATCCGGCCAAGGTCCACATGACAAGCCAGTGATGCTCCCAAACTCAGGCAGAGAGAATCGAAACGGTTGACCACCGAAAACGGTCCAGAGCTCATACCTTCTTTTGGTAAGTAGCTGCCGGCTAAGGAGAGAGTGAATTAGCTTCCCAGAATAAGGACACCTGCCTTTTGGGATGTCGAATAGTTGTCCAAAGACAGTGTCTCTTATCCGCTGGAACACCGGAGTGCCTTTCAATGTGTGGTGCAATAGTGTTAACGTGGATGCCTCGCCATACATATTGAGCCTCGCCTTGGGAAACCTGTCGGTGGCGAACAACCTGCAAGGTAATTGGTTGTCCCAATCTTTGTTCGCGGAATCAGAACCTGAGGATAAGGAGAGTCAAAAAATTACATAACTGAAACGGAAACTAGCCTATCAAGTGTCCAGGCAAAAAAATCTACGGGACCAAGCAGAATTATCGAAAACATCCAATTTTGGTACCTAATCTTTTGGAATTATCTTTCCGAACCAAAGGGTTTCCCAAACAAAGTGTTTGACTTTCTAAAACGAGAGACCCATAGAACATGACGCCGGAATTTGTGAACAACATGTAAGTTCTGAGACTTCCGAAACAGATAAACCGAAAATCATAAGATAAATAAAGATATATACACCGAAATTAAGCTAGGTTGTGGTCTGAAGAGCAAAATGGGAGCAAAAAAGCGTCGGATTTCGGTAACAAATTAAGATTCTCGCCGCCGAAGTGAAACCAAAACCCTAAAAACGGATGGAGAATATTCGGAACTGGAACTGTAAATACCTTCCATAACAGAGCGTGAATGTGGAATGAGCAGGGATGGCGGATTCGTGGACAGGGTCTGAGCAATTTCTTTCTCTTCGAGTGCGCCGGCAAGAGGAAAACGGTTTCCGTCGACGTCTGTAAAGTCGAGCAGAGAAAGAGAGAAGTAAAATAAAAAAGGGTAAAAGTTAGAAATGTAATAGAACGGAAGAAAGAAGGACAAATGTGTAAACTCTCACACACAAAGTGCACCTCTGTCGAGAAGTCACTCTTTGTGTAAGGAAAAACTCAAAAGTCATCTTTACTGTAAATCACTCTCTTTTTTACTCTAAAATGTGCATCCATTCATACCCGTTGTAAATTTTTGGTTCTTTTTAGAAGAACATGTGTTCATCTCTTGCTTTTGTATATATATTCCTAGAGTGTTGTTAGATAAGTAATAGTCTTGGAATCTGTCATTGGCGCTCATTAGTCATGAAATTATTTTGTGTGAATACGAATATCCATCCTTCTAACAATCAAAACGCTATGGTTCGTACTCCTCCTCCTTTCACTTCAATTGTTTTTCAAAAAGTTCGCCCTAATTTTAAAAAAGAAAACTCTCTCTTCTCTCTCCTCCTTCAGCCGCCTCTTCTTCCCTGCTTCTTCTCCTCCGGCAGCCGGCGCTCTTCGCCACCGCCGGGAGGGGCCCCCTTTCTCTTCTCTCTTTCTTCTCCTTCGGTTCTCTCTCCATTTTGCTAAGTGAGAGTTTCTTTGGTTCTGATTCAAGCTCCACGGAGTGGTCCTCTGTCTTCGTGGTGTGGTGACCGGTGTGGAGGTGGAGTGTGGCGTCTCGGCTCCTCCTCCGGTGTGGCGCGCTGGTCTCTGTCCCCGGCGTGGGTGGTGGAGAGATCTGTCAGATCTGGACCGTTTCTCTCAGATCTGGAGTTTTCTTCTTCTGGTTTCACATCGGGGACAACGACGGTTTTGTCTCCGGCGCTGTGCGGTGGTCGTTCCTAGGATTCGTGTGGCTCTTGGCGTTTCCCTAGGAGGCGTGTGGCTTGGACGTCGACCACTCACGGCGGAGCTTTTGGTCGAAGATCCGCTTTAGATCTTCTCGATGGTGATTTGGAGTCCTTGAGGACGGGTCTCTACACCAACGATTTGATTCGACGGTGCTCTTTCTTCATTAGGCGTTCCGGAGTTGTGGCCTTTTCTGTCGTCTCTCTCGTGTCATTCTTGGCGATGTTTGTTACTGGGTGGTGGTTATCTATGGACTCGGATTTTGCAGTGACGACTTGCAGATCTATGTTCTATTTTGGCCATCCGTGTGAGCCCGTCAACAGAAATCGGTTTGTTTTCATTTTTGGTGGAAGGCTCATGACGTGGTCAAGCTTTCGGTAGGTGATGGCTCCAGAAAAATCTCCGGTGTTGAATTGGATTCGGATAGAGGCGGCGAGTTTTGCTTGACGACTAATCCCTTTATGTGGGAGATGATTCTCATAGCTTTTCAAGCTGGGGAATGTGGCTAGAGGCGGCTTCTCTAGCTGCCCAAAGAAGCTCCCGTGCCGCCAGTTTGGGGTTGAGTGGGTCGAAGCGTTCTCGTTTTTGCATTTGTCCTCGGAGAAGCTGTAGGTGCCGTGCGAGGTTTTGAGGACTGGCCTCTAGGAATTGCAACGACGTTGAGGACTCGAGTTTCTAGGAATTGCAAGCGCAAATTTCCGAGTGTTGGTTTTCGGAATCGGTGTTTCGTCTTTAGTAATCTGCTGGTCGGGTTTTGTTTGTAAGTCTAGCTTATTGTTTTTGTTCTTCCGATTGTTGCTGTCCACCGTTTCTTTAGTTTTTGGTCTTTCTTCTCTCACAATTCGAAAATGGTATAAAACTTTAACATTTTTACCAAAAAACAAAAAAAAGCTATGGTTCCAATAATTCTCTCTGTGTTTGGAAGTCCTCTGCTCATGCGAGTCCACTCTCACTCCTCAGTCTCATGAAAAAAAACACCACAAGCTGTTTCAAGAAAGGCAGCTTCATATGTATTATTCATTTTAAAGTAGATTCTAGCAGAGAGATTGCGCACATAATGTCAAATCATAATTCTCATTATCATCATACGATCCTTTTAATTTGTTTCATCACTTCTCTCACATTGTAGCCCCCTAGGACTTCTTTTGTAGTTTGGTTCAAAGTTTTGTAGTAACAGAGTCCTAACATCAAGGCTTTTGAAGATATGGACTTCAACTTCAGCACAATAACATCAAATAGTACTCTGTTCCGTTAATACCAATTAACAAAGAAAAAAGTAAACCGTTTTAACTATTTTTTAAGTCTTATCAACAAATTAATTAATCTCACATATAAAGATCAAAGTAGAAATATTTTCTAAACGTTATATATACATTAGCTTTTCTATATCGTAACTTATACATTTTGTATAGGATTTATAGTGAAAATGAGTAATCACTAATGAATTTCAAATCACGAATCCAAAATATACGATCAAATATGAAATCTATATAATTATTAATAAAATTCATATAAATGTTATTAAATAAATCTGTATTTATTATATTTTTCATATCTTGATTTGTTTCTACCGCATGACTAAACTATATATTACTCTTCATGGTTTAATAGGTTTGGCGTATGCATGGACTGAAGGAAAATGTTGGTATGGCATGGTTGAGTGATTGATGTTTGTATGCTGCAAAATAATCTCTGACTACAATTTCTTGTGTATATTCTTTTTTTTTTGTTGATATAGTTCTTGAATTATAGATGACAATATTGCCTTAACAAGCTTTAGAAACCAAAAAAAAACAAATAAAATAAGAAAAAGTAATAACATCATTCGCGCTTAGCACGGACTTTAACCTAGTATGAGTAAAAGTTTTAATGGCCAAACATTATCATTCTTCATAAGGAACAAACAATATCATTCTCACAAGGAACAAATATTTTAATAATGCAACAATAGAACTCTGTGTACACTTGATATGCTATGATAACCTAAGGAGAACTCACAAATTCAAAAACCTTGACACTTGTAATGGTCCTTTCTCTCTTTCTTTCCTTGGTTACTTTCAAGATTCTTTAACGGTTCGAAGCTGCAAAGACTCACCACTTTGTCAGCAACTCCTTTTTCTCTTCTTCCATAGTGAATCATAACCCATAAACTCAGCCAGCATTTTCAGATAGGGCAAAGGATCTGCTCTCGTAGTCTCGTATGTGAGGAACAACATCCGTTTTGCGTTCCAACATATATAACATTCATGACTGGTCCATTAAACGCTGGAAAACTGAACACATCCTTGAAATCATCTTTCCTCCCTAGTAACGACGTGGCATAAATATAACCGGTGAACTTTTCTGTTATCTTACGCCGAGTACCGCGCACATTAATTGGGGAGAGCGCATATTAACCGCGCGCAACCATAATCGTCTTATGAAAATCCTTCCCTCGCGCCGGTTTCCCGAAAAAACATCCATAGAAGTGTCAGAGAAATCCATGCGACGTTTCTCTGTCTGTTCACCTTCAAGCTATCGTCTCAATCCCATAACATCTATGGCTACTGGATCCGGTTCACTGATTTGGTTCCGGAAAGGGCTTCGGATTCACGACAATCCGGCTCTTGAATACGCTTCAAAAGGTTCCGAATTTCTCTACCCGGTTTTCGTGATTGACCCGCATTACATGGAGTCCGATCCGTCTGCGTTCTCTCCCGGTTCGTCCCGCGCCGGAGTAAACCGGATCCGGTTCTTGCTGGAGAGCCTCAAGGATCTCGATTCCAGCCTGAAGAAACTCGGTTCACGGTTGCTGGTTCTTAAGGGAGAACCAGGCGAAGTCATGATTCGTTGCTTGCAAGAGGTAATGTGGTGTAATGTTTGTCAGAGATTAATGCAGAGAATTCAAAATTCGATTTTTTACTTTAGACAATAGAGAACCGAGAAATGCTTATGTTTTTGCAGTGGAAGGTGAAGAAGCTTTGCTTTGAGTATGATACAGATCCGTATTATCAAGCTCTAGATGTTAAAGTTAAGGTAAAACTCGTTTCATTAAGCCGTAAAGTTTTGACATTGATTAATGAAACGAGTGTTAGCTCACTATATATCTATAGGATTATGCTTCTTCAAGTGGAGTTGAGGTTTTCTCTCCAGTTAGCCACACTCTTTTCAATCCCTCAGACATTATAGCGAAAGTAAGTGCTATAATGCGCTAGTTGTTATCCAAGTTATTTCTCTATGGAACTGTAAAAATTCTGGAGATGTGTGTGTGTTTTCTTGCAAGGAAGAACGGTGGGAAGCCACCTTTGAGTTATCAGTCATTCCTGAAGATTGCTGGGGAGCCTACATGTGCCAAATCTGAACTTGTCATGTCTTATTCTTCACTTCCTCCGGTTGGAGATTATGGAAGTCTTGGCATTTTGGAAGTACCAACCCTTGAGGAACTTGGATACAGAGACGATGAACAAGTTAAGAGATGACCCATCTTGTTTCTTTCAGTAGCTAGAAAAACATTTCCATCTGAGAGGCTTATGCCTGTGTAAATGTCTGTAGGCTGAATGGACTCCTTTTAGAGGTGGCGAATCGGAAGCTTTGAAACGATTGAATAAGTCTATCAGTGATAAGGTATGGTCAAGAACTTCAAGTTTTCTCCTCAAGATCCTTGAAGAATATATACACTTGTTCTTTGACTCCCATAGATTCATATCTTCTTTATCAATGGGTTTTCTTTCAAGTGTAGGCATGGGTGGCAAACTTTGAGAAACCAAAGGGTGATCCATCTGCATTCTTGAAGCCCGCAACTACAGTTTTGTCACCTTATTTGAAAGTGAGTTACAGAACATAATTTGTCGACTTAGGCTTTTTCCCTCCATTTTGTTTACATTGCTCTCTTTTTTCCTGACCTTGGAGAAGTTTGGGTGTCTTTCTTCGAGGTACTTTTACCAATGCCTTCAAAGTATTTACAAGGATGTTAAAAAACATACATCGCCGCCAGTTTCTCTCCTTGGACAGGTCAGTTTGTGAGTAATAAGTTCCTTATACAGCCCGACTGCGGAAAGTTGATATCTTTTTTTGCCTCTCTAGTTGTTGTGGCGAGAATTTTTCTATACTACTGCGTTTGGAACCCCTAATTTTGACAAAATGAAGGGAAACCAGATCTGCAAACAGGTAACTAGATAACAACTGCAGTTCTCTTGTCAAATTCCTCTAACACATGCTTTTTTTGGATCAATCTTGTTGTTACCTATGTAACCTAGATAAAAACTGCAGTATAGTTCTCTTCTCAAGTCCCTTTAAGATTTTAACTGTCTTGCTTTTGTGGACCAATCTTTCTGTTCCATCATGCAACCTAGATTCCGTGGAAAGAGGATCATGAGATGTTGTCTGCTTGGAGGGACAGTAAGACAGGATACCCCTGGATTGATGCCATCATGGTTCAGGTTCGATTTTAGTAAAAGTGAATTCCTTTAGCTGTCCTTTTAAGCATCAGTCAGTCATGAATCGGTCTTTCTCTGGAAATTTATAGCTTAGGAAATGGGGTTGGATGCACCATCTTGCGCGTCATTGTGTAGCCTGTTTCCTAACTCGTGGGGATCTGGTAATGTTTACCCTAATATTCTTGGTTCTATCTCCCTGAGATAACTTTGCTGACATGCATAGTTTTTTTTTTATGTTAGTTCATACATTGGGAACAAGGGCGTGATGTGTTCGAGAGACTTCTTATTGATTCAGACTGGGCAATCAATAATGGGAACTGGATGTGGTTATCATGCTCATCCTTCTTTTACCAGGCACTGTCTCCATTTTTTCCTCTCAAGCTTTTTTTCTGTACAATTGGTTAAATCCAACTAAAGCTTTTTTCGAAAGGTTTCATTTCTCATGCTTACACTTGTCTCCCAATGTTTTGTGATGGTTTCTCAGTACAACCGCATCTACTCTCCTATATCTTTCGGAAAGAAGTATGATCCTGATGGGAAGTACATAAAGCATTTTCTCCCTGTACTGAAAGGTAATTTTGAGTTAGTTTCCATCATTGTGGTAAGCTTGTTTACCGTTTATTGTTTCATTGGCTAATTAAATTCTGTTTCAGATATGCCAAAGCAGTATATTTATGAGCCATGGACAGCGCCATTGAGCGTTCAAACTAAAGCGAAATGCATTGTTGGAAAGGACTACCCGAAGCCAAGTTAGTAATTATGTCTCTATTAACATATACATGCTAGAAAGATATGAACATGATTGTATCTTCAAATTTGGGAAGTAACGATCAGGGAGCTAGTTGCAGTAACTCGCATGTTTGCTTGAAACTACATGGTTACTGGTTTACCTGGTTGCTTTGCAGTGATTTTGCACGATTCAGCAAGCAAGGAGTGCAAGAGGAAGATGGGTGAAACATATGCATTGAACAAGAAGATGAGTGGTAAGGTGGGAGATGAAGATCTGAGGGATTTGAGGAGAAAGCTTCAGCAAGATGATGAACAAGTAGAGCCGAAGATAAGGAAACAACGACCTAGACTCAACTAAGTAGGGAGACAAGAAAATGAATATCTAAAATTGATGAAATGGGTATTGTTTACAACTAATTGTTGCTGGTTTGGCTTATTCGCATGTAAATATGGTTCCACTGACTCACTGAGTACAGAATATTTCTGTTTATAAGTTAAAAGCTTTTCTTTTGTTAATGTCGACAACATGAAATGAGGCAAATGCAATCACAAAGTATAATGCAATCACAATTACAAGCCTTTCTTTCTGTTTTTGGTTTTTGGTTTCTAGTTTTTGGCTTTTTCTCCTTTTAGTTTATGATTTTGGTTTTTAATTTGCTAGAGATTTTAGTTTTTAAAGACAATGGATTGGTGATTTATTTAGGGGGTGTTATTCAATCATGTATTTAAAATCAATTCTCTAAAATTTAAATTTAAAATTTTGATCTTATTTTAAAGAATCCTGATTCTAAAATCTCTGAAACATATATTGAATTCTATTTCTAATAAATTACTAATGAAATTCATGAAACTTAATTGGAATTCATCACAAGTGACTCAATAAACACATATTTTAAAAGTCATTTGAATAACACTGTATTCTAAAAGAATATTTGAAATCTTGATTGAATAACAGTATAACACCCTCTAAATAAATCTTGATTTTAAATACATGATTGAATAACACCCCTTAATGATAATTTATAAATAGGATATCCATTAGGGAAACTACAATAGATAATTATATTGGAAACCATAATTTAGAAACTAACCATAATAATTCTTTGGCTATAATACAGCCTATATTATGTATTAATACCAATTTTTGTCCTTCTCATTTCTGGTGAAAATCAAAGTCTATACCATTTACTTTGTCTATATAGAACAAAAATTGTTCTTTTCTTCAATTAGATTTGATAGTTATGAGTTTAGGGTTTATGGATTAGATTATGTGTTTGGTGCTTAGATTTAGAATTTAAGTTTTATTTTTTAGTTTTGGATTTAAGATTTAGAGTTTTGAATAGAATCAACTATTTATTTTCACTAAATTTTTTTAGGTTTAGGGTTTAGTAGTTGGGTTTAGTATTTAGATTTAGGGTTTATAATTTCGGTTTAGGGTTTAGATTTTGGGGTTTAGGGTTTAGATTTTAGGTTTAGGGTGTAGAATTTGGGCTAGGGTTTAGATTTTGGGTTTTAGATCTAGATTTTAGGGTTTAGAGTTTTTGTATTAGGGTTTAAAGTTCATGTATTAGGGTTTAGAATTGGATGAATTATCTTGTTTTGCTATTTTTTAAAAATAAGTGGTTAACAATTTCGCAAAACGGTACTATTTTTGCTTTGCGTGTAGAATGGTATGAACATTTTTGTTTACGGTATGGAACATAAATCTCATATTGAGTTACCACAAAGGCAATTTCGTCCATAAAAAGTTATTTGGTTAGTTTGTATGTGATATGGCTATTTTCTTAAGTATAGTACTCAATATGATTATTAAGCTAATTGACCCTATCCAATAACACTAGATTTAAAAACATAACTTAGAATCATTACTTCTCTAACACTATATTGTGATTGGATATCAGTTCATTAAAATACAACATCCAATAATGCCCCTTTATTTTTTGGTTTTTTGTCTAAATACATATTATTTTATTTTTAAAATCTTGACTTATATTAGATATTTGTTCAATCTAGCAATTATTAGATATTGGATATTAGATATTTAATCTTGTTTATTTGTTGGTTTTGTGCTAATTAACCTACAAACTAAATTAAATTTGCAAATCAAAACCACCAACTCAAAATTAAGTCACCCGCTAAAAGATCTTCTCTTTATCATCGTCGTGGCCCAAACATTGACCGTTAAGAAAACTAACAGAACAAGGGTTTTATACAAAATTAACTCTCGAACTAAATAAAATTTGCAAATTTAGCCCTGAGTTTTTTATTTGTTTATATATTATATATTAGATATTTGCTTTTTATTTTATTAGAACAAGGGTTTTATTCGTTAATATATTAGATATTTGTTTGATACATTAATTTTATTAGAAGGCATCTCCCCATCCTTGACCGAGCTACCTCGAAAAGACATCAATCAAAATGTAATCTCGGTAAGTTATTTAAACTTTAACCATGTGCAGAGCCGGCCCTGAGTCCAAGCAAAACAAGCTTGGGCTTGCGGCCCATAATTTTGCAGAAAAAAATTATATATAATTTCGGCCCTTAATTCTTTAAAAAACGTTACTATAAGGAATGGTTATGGCTTGTTCCTCTTAGTTACGAGGTTGTCGGTTTCCAAGAGAAAGATATGAAGATGAAATCGAAGGACTGAAACAAGCAGTTTCTGACCGTGATGCTGTGGTGGAGGAACTTGCGACTAAGAATGCTAACTTGGAGACAAAGTATGAAGGTTTGGAGGCTGCTTACCAAAGCACTCGAGATGAAGTCACACAAATGAAGGAAGTTATGCAATCTGACTTCCCAAATCTGTTTAGTAAGTAGTTTGTTTTAGTAGTTTAAACTAGTTGGTGTTAGATGTTAAAACTTGGTGTTTTGTTGTTTAACTACTTAATCTTTCAAACTAGTTGGTGTTTTGTTGAATGGATTTATGTCTTTTATCTCTTTCATTATAATTTCGCTGTATTTTTCGAATTCTTTTTTTCTTATAAATAAATATCCGTCGGAATTTCGTTGGACAATGATTCGGATGCCGTAGTATTTCTGACGAACAAGATTTCCAGGACTTTCTGTCAGGTTTTCGACCATATTTTCGACGGCAAACAGTCGGAAAATTTGAACTTGCAAATATTAGATATTCAATATTAGATACTTAAACTTGTTTATTTCTGGGTTTTGTGCAGATTAACCTACAAACTAAATTAAATTTGCAAATCAAACCCCAGGTTTTTTTTGTGCGAATCAAACCCACCAACTCAAAAGTCACTCGCTAAACGATCGTTCTCTTTATCATCGACGTGGCCCAAACATTGACCGTTAAGAAAACTAACAGAACAAGGATTTTATGCAAAATTAACTCGCGAACTAAATTAAATTTGCAAATTTAGCTCTGAGCTTTTTATTTGTTTACATATTAAATATTTGTTTATTTGTTTTATTAGAACAAGGGTTTTATTTGTTTGAGGTCTACACGGTGGATGACAAATTATATCAAACAAATGGAACGAGACCATTCTTGTTAAATTATATCAAACAAATGACAAATTAGATCATACCCATACTAGTTCCATCTTGTTAGATATTTGTTTGATATAATTTGTTTCATAATTCAAATATTACAATATATTTTTTTTTTAAAACCTGAAACAAAAAGAAAACTATATCAAAATATTGTCATACAAATTAGGTATGTTCAATCCGGATATCAGTTCCGTTTTGGTTCTGATTTTTCAATTTTTGGATTTTCGGTTAATAAAGAATGGTTTCCATATTAGTAACATATGGTTTGGTCTAGTTTGGATAATCTTAGTTTTTTATTAGTTTGTTTTTTTAATTTTTAAATTTATAAAAAGTAAGACTTTTTGGTGTGTTTTCAATCAGGAATGTTAGTGTATTCATGTTATTTTGATATACACCATCAATATAAACCCTACACCCTAAATCCTTACCCCAGATTATAAACCCTCCCCTAAACAGTACACCATAATCCCATATTACTTACTTGTTCTCGATTTGCTTTTTTTTTTTTTTTTTTTTTTTTTTAAGAAGTTGTTTGTTGTTTTTAGTTTAAATTGGTAATGTGAGTATTAGATCACTAAGGAAAAAAAAAGAAGCTTTTAAAAAGAAGTTGTTTTTTTTTTTTTTTAATCGGTAATGTTAGTGTATTCAAATTTTTCTAAATTGCACCAAAAAATAAACCCTACACCCATCAATATTCTAAACCCTAACCCTTCATTATAAATCTTCCCAGCCCCTCTTTAACAATACACCATAACCTCGCCATATTACACTTGTTGTCGAATTGCTTTTATTGTTTTACTTTTTTAAAAATAAGTTGTTATTGTTTTTGTTTTAAATCAGCAATCTTAGTATTAGTGTTAGATTGATAAGGAAAAAATGAATAATATATATTATAATTGTTTTAAATAGTGGCACGAAAATGGATGATGAGCGAAGAAATGTCTTGTCGAGATATATTCAGGTTAACAGCTGTCACTGTCTTCTACATATATATGGACGCTTTCATCTGGTTAATCATATTAACTGCACCTAACCACATTTGCTTTTGTAAATGAATACAAGCGAGGTTTGACCTCGATGGGGATGCAGAAAAGGCTTGTGTCATAAAGCAAATGGGATGTAATATGAAGATCTTCAAAATCTCATATGGTAGATAAGATCAAAAAGCTAAAAACAATGAAGAGAGGATCCAGCTGAGACCCAAGAATATTCCTATTGTTGGAATGGCGTAAATTTATTCAAGAGAAGACTAGCCAATAATTTAAGGTACATACTTTCAATCATTTTTATGTCATCTTTATTATATTGACACATTCGTCTACATGTTATAAGCGATAAGTTTAAGGAAATAAGAAGCGTTCAGATTCCACATACTTGTAGTCGGAAGGGAATGGTTAGATGGGCTGGAGATTTTGTTAGTATATATCTATTGTTTAGGTGATACGATCCTAGCCAACATCTTTCACTTCAAGTTGGTAGGGATAATCCTTCACTCTAATGGAATGGTAAACCTCCAAAGAAACCATGCGGTGGAACTTTTGAAAAATGATGCAGGTAGATCCAATAATGAGTATATTAAACTCATCACCTGATGCTATCTTATACCGCAAATAACTATCCTCAGTTTATAAAATGGCCACACAAATATGATGCAAAACACTTGATGAACCGGTTTGATCCCTTGAATATGACACACCAAAACAGATTAAAAGTTTACAAGAAACAAAGAGAATCACTTTCAAAATATTTGATAAAAAAAAAGGTTGTTCTTTCTTAAGTGAGATTACAAAAATATAAAAGTAAAGAACTTGAGAAATAAGCTAGATAATTAATTGTTTGAAATCAGAAAAGAATAAAGGGAATGAATAAGAAATAAAGAGAGTTGAATAACGTTTGAGCTTCAAAAGAGACTGTTCAGCTACATTTTTGTCACATCCTTTTACTACAAAATTAAGTGAGTACTTTTGGGTTTTTTTGGACTTGTATGACATTCAGAAGAGACTGGACTTGGTAGTTAACATCATCAAACGAATTGTGAATTCCTCAGCTGCTTACTCTCACCCGAGTCATTGGTCCTTCTGGTTCAAGCATAGCTTTCTCAGGTTCAAATTCAGGTACAAGATTCTCATCATGGTTCCTTCGTATGATCACATCATTAGGGAAAGACATCATACATGTGGATGGAACCTATAGCGAGTGTGATTGCACTAAAAAAACTGAGTATTAATAGTAGTATAAGATAGAGTTCTATGTACTTTTGCTATGGTTGAGTTAGACTTGACTTTTTATAGCGTTTCCGAAAATATAAATGCTATGCTATATTGAACTGCTAAAATTATTGAATTTCCATTTATTATTTTGGTTATACAAAATATAAAATGTTATAATAGAGTTAAGCGGGAACAAAATAATTCATTACCGCCTAAATAGAAAACTACACACAAATATTTTTCTGCCAAATAAAAAAATTAAAATATGAGTAGACCTAAATTTAATTAAGAATTAAAAAATTCAAATTAAAAGTGCAAATTCAAAATTCAAAATTCGAAACCATATTGATAAGAAATAATAACAAAATCCAAATGCTATTGTAGAATATACCATAACAAATAAGAAAATGCTATATTACATAAAGATACAATTGCAATGCCAAAAACCGCTATCTAAAGTGTCAGACCTATTATTGTGGGCGATGTAACCAAAGTAAACAAAGTAAACAAACACAAGATCTCTATTTGTTACTCTTTGACCTTAAGCCTACAAAGAGTAGACGTGATTATCTTATCCTGGGAGGGACTTCGTGTAACCCAAGGCTGTATAGAGTCGAAATACTCTTTAGGGAAAGTGCTTCGTACATGATTCAATCACAATTCAAGATATCCCACACATCTCACACATTTCTCTCTGAAATACATTGTCGTTAATTTGTTCCAACACCCTGTGCTCTGTTCCAAAACTGAAAAACATAGGCCATATACCAACAGCCATATCTTGAGGTTCCGAATAAAGGCAAAAGTTAGATGGTTACAAGAAAATTTTGTATTGTCACAAATTCTACAAGTATTAAGGACATATCGCCACATGCATTTCTTCCTCAAAATCTCAAACTCTAAGAGACCGGAAAAAAAAAATCACGAATGGAGATATCATCAATTGCGTCACTGGCTATAATTGTTGTGTAGTGGTGGATATGAAGAACAGTGGAGTGGGGTTTGGCTAATACCTAAGATGCTTGAGAGTTTTATGAGAAAACAAGGTCTCGTCGGAACTCGTTACACGCCTCGGAGATGTGAGAAGGACTTTTAGCAATGTTGAAGGAAGCAAGATCCAAACCGATGAAACCAACTGATGATTTCACTTGTCATGCCTTATTTATTTTACATGCTCAACACTTAAGATATATCTTATTATATAAAGCTGGATGCGCACAACGTGGTTGCGACACGTAGGATTTTTATAAAATATAGGATTGCGACATGTATTACTTTTAATGTTACTTCCGTTAAGATTGTGACACATGATGTCTTTGGGAAAAAGGAAAAAAAAAATTAAAGGAAAAATTTTAATCTTTTATAATAAAAACGAAAATCTTATTATATAAATTGAAAATAATATAATAAAAAAATACATATTAGTACATGGAATAGGTATGTAAACTAAATATCTTAAAACTGTATGAAATCAGTTACATAAACCCCTATTTTAAAAATTCCTATCAGTACATGGAATAGGTATGTAAACTAAAAATAAAAAATAAAGGGAAAATTTTAATCTTTTATAATAAAAATGAAAATCTTATTATATAAATTGAAATCTTATTATACAAAGCTGGATGCGCGCAACGTGGTTGCGACACATGATTTTTATAATTTACAGGATTGTGTTACTTTTAGTTTTATGGTTGCAAAAATCATGAAATGTGTACTGAAAAAACTTAAACAAAAATTTAGAAAAGAGAAAATTGTATCCATTATAGTAAAAGAAAACAAAATATTTATTATATCCTAACAGAAAAATGTTTCACATTCATCAAGTATATACTGTCTAAACACATTAAATTCAAATAAACAAAATCCTATTAGTACATAACATGGAATAGGTAAACACATATTAAATTCAATTAAACAAAATCTTAATAGTTCATGGAATAGGTTACATTAACTAATCTTAAATTCTTAATAATGTATTAAATAAAATCCTCTAACTGCATGAAATAGGTTATGTGAACCTTTTGCATAACTCATATTCTAAAATTTAAGAAATAGAAAAAATATATACTTCCATATTCAAACTGAAAAATGTTCCATATTCTAACGAAAAAAGGAAAAAGAAAATATTTTCATGCATCATATTCTAAGATATAAAGGTTCCATATTCTAACGGAAAAGGTAAAAAATAAACAAGAATACATAATTTAAGTTTTTGTGCATCTTTATGTCATTCAGAGATATCTTATCGGGTTCTCAATATTATTTTATTTATTTTTTAAATTTATTATATTCTGTTTGATAATTTTTTGGTAACCTGTTTCAAAAGAAAATAAATAAATCCCGCATATACACGCGGGCTTTATCTAGTATATATATATTTGATAAATTTGGCTTATAAATTTTGGTAAATTTGGCTTATTATTGTCAAAGCTAAGCCTGAGACTTCGAGTTTTGGTTTGGGTTCAGATCGGTTTTTTTTTTTTTTTTGGATTTTCAGGTTTAAAGATATAGAAATCGTTCAGTTTTTTTTTTTAATTTTGGTCGGGTTCTGTTTGGAGTTTTTAGGCTTTTTTGGGTTTTTCAAGTTTTGGATTTTGGGTTTTTTCATTTTCGGTGTAGGGTCGATTGAGGTCTTTTTGTATCGGGTTCGGGTGAAAACGAATTTTACAATGAAATAGAAAACGATTTATCGAAGGCCCAAATAGAAAATGATTTATGGAAGGCCCAAACAGAAAAAGAAAAAGCCCACAGATACGTGTATCTTCGCCTAGGGTTAGTCTTACGGAAGCTCTTTTATAGGTTTCTCTTTTGCTCTTGCCACCGTTTAGCTCTTGATCTCTGTTTTCTTTGTATGCTTTTCCGTTAGAGCTTGATCTCTCCGTCGTCGAAATGGTTGCTTTCCGGGTAAGTTGCTTCATTCTATTGTATAGTAACCTGATTTACTCGAGATTCTGTGTTTTAGTTCTTCTTCATTGATTTTTCTAGGAGTGTTAAGAGAGTTATGATCCTGATTTGCACCTCGTTACGAACTGATAGGTTCTGTTTCTCTGAGAAAGTGCATGAATTTTTCATGATCCGTTAAACATTTCAAGCTTCACTACTTAATTCTAGATTGGTTTTGTCATGTGACTTTAGAGAGTGTATCTGATTTGAATGTTGAGTGTCTGGTGCTGTTTAAGATTTCGCTATAAATGTATTAACTTTTGGCTGAATAATGAATTGATTCAAATGTAAACTTGTTTCCTTGAGCAGTTTCACCAGTATCAAGTGGTTGGGAGAGCCCTACCTACAGAGAAAGATGAGCATCCAAAGATCTATCGGATGAAGCTTTGGGCCACTAATGAAGTTCGTGCCAAGTCCAAGTTTTGGTGAGCCATTCAATGTGCCCTTTGTGGTGCTAGTTTGTGAATTTACGTCTAAATCTATTCCCTGATGTTATATGCATTTTGCTTGTATCTAGGTACTTCCTGAGGAAACTGAAGAAGGTCAAGAAAAGCAACGGACAAATGCTTGCCATCAATGAGGTATCGATTGCATTTTGCTAAAAGATTGGTACTTGTTGTTATCCATTGCTTGTTATGTTCAATGTGTAAATGATTTTGCTGTTCTGCTCTTGTTAGATTTTCGAGAAGAACCCAACAACCATCAAGAATTTCGGTATCTGGCTTCGTTACCAGAGCAGAACTGGGTACCACAACATGTACAAGGAGTTCCGTGACACGACGCTCAACGGTGCGGTGGAGCAGATGTACACAGAGATGGCTTCACGCCACAGAGTGAGGTTCCCTTGCATTCAGATCATCAAGACTGCAACAGTCCCTGCAAAGCTGTGCAAGAGAGAGAGCACCAAGCAGTTCCATAACTCGAAGATCAAGTTCCCTCTTGTTTTCAGGAAGGTCAGGCCACCAACTCGGAAGCTCAAGACTACTTTCAAGGCGTCAAAGCCTAACCTCTTCATGTAAAACCGATCTACATGATTTTCTCCTCGTCCTTTTCAACTATCAGATTCGGGTTCTTGTACCTCTGTTTCAACAAAACTCCATTTTGGAGCTTATCTTCTCTTGAAGTCTTGAACTTCGCATCTTTTGAACTTTTTATTACCTAGATTTGATACGGTATTGAGGTGTCTCTGACAATTTTCAAAGTCTTGTTGCTTAATTTGCCTAATTTGCATAGAGTTTCAACTTTTAATTAAGTGGCTTCTTGAGAGTTAAGTTACGTTGACATAAATCAAAAATTTAGACGCAAACCGATCATTAAACCTGCTAACACTTATACTGCAAAAGTGTTGAGATTCTTTCATAAATAATGCATAGTGGATCTCTTTTTGGAAGATTAATTGATTAAAACCATTACACGACAAAGACAGACAAAGCCCCTTTGGCGGCAAAGGATCTGATGCACTGTAAACTGTAGAATCGAGTAGCAAAAAGGTCTCAACTTTAGGAATCAAGAGCGAGTGAGAGAAGAACAGAAGATGTCTTTTCCAGTAGCAGCAGCAGCTTTGGTGGTGGTCGTAGCAGTTGCGTCGCTGTGGAAATGGCGGATCGTGAAATGGGTCTGGTTTAAACCAAAGATGCTTGAAAGTTACCTGAGAAGTCAGGGTCTCGCCGGAACTCCTTAGTCCTTACACGCCTCTCGTCGGAGATGTTGAGGAATGTTAATATGATGACGGAGGCGAGATCTAAACCCATCAATCTAACCACGTCTCCTTCCTCTCGCCTTGAACATGTTCAATTCTCATGGGATTGTTGTGTCTCATAGATGTTCTTGATTTAAAGACTGCCTTTTGACTTTTGTTTCCGCAAAAATGTGTAGAATTTAGTTTGACTTGATCTTAGTTATGTTGGTGGAATCTGAAACCAGAGCAGATCAAGGAAGTCTTTAATGAAGTTTACGACTTTGAGAAAGCTGCTACGTTCCCTTTGTTCAGATTGTTCGCTAGCTATAAGGGAGATGAATGGGCAAATACAGGTTTCGCTTTTTCCTCTCTCGTCTTCAGTATCTGTCTGTGATAGCTAACCTGTTTGTTGGTTAACAGAACATGGTCCCTGCGTTCTACCACTGTTGCAGCGAGGTTGTATGCCAATGGGAGAGGCTGTTTAGTGATAAAGAATCGTCTCTTGAAGTCGATGTTTGGCCTTGGCTTGTGAATATGACTGTGGATGTGATCTCGCATACTGCGTTTGGAAGCATTTATAAAGAAGAGCAGAGGATATTTCAGCTCCAAGGGGAGTTAGCTGAGCTCATCGCACAAGCTTTTAAGAAATCTTACATCCCTGGTTTCAGGTAAATAAACTATCTTATTGTCTTTTGACTTGAGGATTTCTCGAGAATTTGTTGTTTGGTGTAGGTTTTACCCAACAAAGAGCAATAGAAGGATGAAAGCTATAGACAGAGAGATTGATATAATACTGAGAGGTATTGTGAGCAAACGAGAGAAAGCGACAGAAGCAGCAAATGATGATCTGTTGGGGATATAGCTACAGTCGAATTCAGAGGAGTCTCAAGGAAATGGAATCAGCGTTGAAGAAGTGATGAAAGAGTGCAAGCTGTTTCATTTCGCAGGGCAAGAGACAACTTCAGTGTTGCTGGTGTGGACCATGGTTTTGTTAAGCCATCACCAAGACTGGCAAGAACGTGCGCGAGAGGAAGTGAGGCAAATACTCGGTGATGATGCTACTAAACCTGATATAGATTCTCTTAGCAACCTCAAAGTCGTAAGTTAAAAATAAAATAAAAAAAAACGAAACTTTCAACATGCATTCATAGTAACAAGATTCACTTTGCATCTTCATTGTTCTTGTTCATCAGATGAGTATGATATCCTATGAGGTTTTGAGGCTATACCCTGTAGGAACGCAATTTCACAAAAGAGATTATGCATTGTTGACTATTTGAATTAATCAAACAATTAGCAAATAAATTTGGGCAAAAAAGCTCAATCTTATTTGCCAAATTCTGAACCCAAACTTGATCCATTATCTCTTTTCTCTAATACATTTTTAAGTGTACTCAAGGTCTTAAACCTTATTATAATTTTTTCATTTTATATTCAAGATGATTTTACCTCAAATTTCCACCGTGAGACATTTCATAAATGTTACATTTTATGCTATATAATTAACCCACTTGGACCTTCATTTCTTGTTTAAACGAACTTCATTTTTGACATATAAATAAACTATCAAAAATAAGTTCCAATATTCCTCCACATAAATAGAAGAGAAATGGCTTTAGGCACTGGACGACTTAACAGACTTGACTCTCTAGACAAGATTCGAAAAGACTTGACAAAAACTGTTTTAAGAACACATGCGAAAAATCCACTGTATATAAGTTAGTATCATTTTTCCGCCTTGAACTAAATCATCGTCATAAATTATCGGATTTACTCGACCAAGAAGTGAACATGATGTCTTGAAACTCTCGGGTTTTGATGTAAATCGAGACAATAACTATAACACAGCTCCATTTACTCACAAAATCAGGTTTTCTATTGTTCATTTCCGCATTGAACTTGTGTCGGTAATCATGAGTGAACTTGGACTGTATAGCCTGCCTTTCATTTTAATTTTAAGAAACGAGTCCATTTCACACTCACAAGGTGATTCGCCATTAACTTTGTTTAGAGGAATATCTTGTACTACTCCATATATAATTTGAAGTTATGAACCCAAATAATTAAAAGTAAACGCTTATCATCTAATCCATACAAGTAGCACTCTTCATCATCCTAGCGCTAAACTTGTTATCATTAACAACTCCACCGCTAACGGTGTGGACAAGATCTAGACATTCCAATAGATATCAGAATTCTAATATGTATATTAGACAAAAATCGTAAATGGTAGACCACTCCTAAAATCAGTATTATAAACAATTTTGTAAGTTTTGGTAATATTTGTTTTTTTTCCTTTTTCTTCTTTGATTCAGTTTGTTTAGACAGCCAAACATGAATCATCACACCAAAATTTATTAGAAAATATAATATATATAAACAATTTAATCATCTCTGAAAACTGCAACAAATTATTAAATTGAACTTCCAAAATTAATAAATTCAGAATTTAACAATTTAATTCAATGCTAATGCTAGAACAATAATTTAATACAATTAAAACCAATATAATGACATGCATGAGTTAATTAAATTAAAATATTACTCCCTTCGTTTCATAATAAGTGTCATTTGGAGAAAATGTATTTGGACAATAATTGGATGTATATGGATAAGAATAAGTGTTATTTTGAGTTTAATACATCCATATACATTGAATTCTCATTTTGTTTAAATGACTGGTTTAACTGTTGTGGTTGCGGTTGCGGGTGCGGGAGTTTGCGGAAGCAGGCGGTTGTGATTAGTAGCGTTATAAAGCGGTTTATACGACTTTCATAACAATTGAAAATGGATGCGTTTGCGGGATACTTATGACTGGTTCACTTGCGGATCCAATAGCGGTTAAACAAAAAATTAATAATATAAACACATTATATAATTATAAAAATATCAAAACTATATTATAATGAAAATTTTAAATTTATGGTTCAACATAATTAAAAATATTTTTTTTATAAAGAATAATATGTGTATAATACTTACGTCTATCTTTTAATTTCTATAATTTAAATAAAAATGTGATTTTATTTTCAAAATATATATTTAATGTGAAAATTAAATTTATTACAATTTATTTATTAGATATATATGTATTACTATGAAAAGCATATTTATCAAGAGAATTTTGATTTGTAGAACTTATAAAAACATAAGTAGGATATGATTTTAATGAATATTGACTAAGGTGTTGATTGGTTCACCCGCTGCTACCCGCAAACGCAGCGTTTGCGGGTAGCAGCGGTTATTGGCGTTTGACAACAATCACCACAAACGCTTTATACCGCTTCAAACCGCTCAAGATCCCTCAACATCCCTCAAAATCAAAAGCTCCTTCCCAGCAGCGTTTGCGGTTGCGGGCGGTTGCGGGTGGATAATTAAAAAAAAAAAAAAACACAAACTTATATAAAATCCGAAAATAAATAATAATCTTTATTAAAAAATAAGATTTGGATAATAAAATCACAATATAAATAAAAAAATTAGTACTTTTAGTCAATATTCATTAAAATCATATCATACTTATATATTTATAAGTTCTACAAATCAAAATTCTCTTGATAAATATTCTTTTCATACTAATACATATATATCTAATAAATAAAATTGTAATATAAATTTAATTTTCACATTAAATATATATTTTGAAAATAAAATCACATTTTTTATTTAAATTATAGAAATTAAAAGATAGACATAAGTATTATACACATATTATTCTTTATAAAAAAATTATTTTTAATTATGTTGAACCATAAATTTAAAATTTTCATTATAATATAGTTTTGATATTTTTATAATTATATAATGTGTTTATATTATTAATTTATTGTTTAACCGCTATTGCATCTGCAAGTGAACCAGTCATAAGTATCCCGCAAACGCATCCATTTTCAATTGTTATGCCAGTCGTACAAACCGCTTAATAACGCTACTAATCACAACCGCCCGCTTCCGCAAACTCCGCACCCGCAACCGCAACCACAAAGGTTAAACTAGTCAGGCCCTAAAAGTACTAACTTTTTTATTTATATTGTGACTTTATTATCCAAATCTTATTTTTTTTTAATAAAAATTACTCCCTCTGTCCCATATTATAAGCTGTTTTGGGCTTGGGCACAGGTATTAAGACAATGTTACTTTTTCATTTTTTTTTTAATTTTTTAAAACATTTAAGTAAATGATAAATAATGTAAAAGCTTGCAACCAATCTCTAACTTTCTCTCTCTTCTCTTCACAGCTCGATTCTTTGTCTTTTATGTCAGCTAATAGAAGTAGGTGTCTGCGAACAATAGGCCTCTTGCTAAAGCAAAACAAAGATCTCTTTTAGGACGACTAGAATCTTTACTAGTTGGAAAGAAAGTGATAGGTTGTAAATGGGTTTTTCAAATCAAGCACAAAGCTGATGGATCGATTGAGCGGCTCTTGCTGCTTGTGCTTGTTCTGCGCATTCTCTAAAGAATATCTTTTTTTTTCTGTGATTAGTTTGTCAGCAGTAAGATATTGTTGCTTTTGTTTTTTCTTTAATTTTTTTTTTCTTTTTTTTTTCTGTATTGGTTTCTGAAACAGCTTATATTATGGGACAAAATTAATAAGCTAAAACAACTTATAATATGGGACAGAGGGAGTATTATTTATTTTCAGATTTTATATAAGTTTCTGTTTTTAATTTTTTTTTTTATAATTATCCACCCGCAACCGTCCGCAACCGCAAACGCTGCTGGGAAGGAGCTTTTGATTTTGAGGGTTGTTGAGGGATCTTGAGCGGTTTAAAGTGGTATAAAGCGTTTGTGGTGATTATTTTCAAACGCCAATAACCGCTACTACCCGCAAACGTTGCGTTTGCGGTTAGCAACGGGTAAACCAATCAGCACCTTATTATGAAATGGAGGGAGATTAAACGTATGCAATATAACTCTCTCGATTAAATGCATACAAAATTCTAGAAAATAAATAAATCTAGAAACATAATTATTTCTTTTCCTACTTTAATAATTAAGTGCATAACTAGCTATGACTAACGATAAATATAAATAAAACAACCAACATTTTTTTTTAATAAATATTAATCAATTCTAGCGAAGGTCTTAAAAAAATTAAATAAATAAAATATCAATAACAAATAAATCAGCTCAGCGGAAGCAAATAATAATTAAACAAGTCTAGCAAAATAATGCAAAACAATAAAACAGTAAACATCCTATCATCCCCCTCTTCAGCCTTGATTCCGCGATCACACAAATCTTTTACCTGCAACACATTGGAATGGAGTTGCGTAAGTATTTAATAAATACTTAGTGAGGCAATCACTCTGCCTACGAGCCATTTACGCAATTTACTAGATATTTAATAATATTTATAAACTTCAATAATTATTAAATACCATTTTCCAATTATTAAATAATTTTTAATAATTAAAACTCAATTTCTCAATTATTAAATAATTCTCATAATTAAATAATAATTTTCCATATTTTAAAATAATTAAAATAATTATTTTAAACCAATTAATTAATTAAATTATTAATTAATTAAATCCGAATAAATAAATTTAATTAAACCAATTAAATTCAATTAACCAATTAAACCAATTAAATCAATTAAACCAAGATAAACCAATTAAATCAATTAAATTCAATTAAACCAGATTAAACCACACAAACACACAATTCATCACATGAAACAACCAAAATATCATAAAAATAACAATTAAAACATAAACTCATCAAGAACAACCACAAACCAAATCTAATCTAGCAAATCACGGACCCACAGTCATGCACTCACCTTGACAATGATTGAAACTGAAGGAAAGACAATGAACAGTGCCCGCGATGAACAGTAACCCCGATGAACAGTACCCCATGAACAGTAAAACTCGAAAATCTCTCCAAAAACTCAACTTTTCTCCTCTACAGCATCTGAACTCGAAAATTCTCCAAAGAGAAGACGGCTGCACTCTTTAAACTTGATTTTAGGGCTTTCTCCACTAAACCGACCCAAACCAATTCACTTAAATTGAACCGAAAATTCAATTTATTTTTGGTTTATGGATGTTACAACTCTCCCCCACTAAACTGGATTCGTCCTCGAATCCCAACGCAAACGTCACAAAGACCACAAAACCCGACCTCGCAAGGCCGCAACACCGGAGATCCTCACTGATCCCCGAGACAAACGTCAATCTTATGTCATAAGCACGTTCCAAGAAAATTTCACTCCTAACTCATCATCCAAACACACCAAACAACTTGTACTGAGGCCCACTTGCACCCAGACAAGTCCACACCGGTCCGCACTGAGGCCCACTTGCACCCAGACGAACCCGAAAACGTCCATACTGAGGCCCACTTGCACCCAGATGAACTAAACTGCTTATACTGAGGCCTACTTGCACCCAGATAAGCTACACTCAACTGAGGCCTACTTGCACCCAGAGAGTCTGCCAGAGAACGAAGTCTCCAAAAACATGATGAGTTATTCAGGATCGCAATCCTTAGAGTAAAAATTCCGGAAAATGTCTATAACCATAAGATTAGACCGTCTCACAACCAAAAACTGGTCAAACATGTGTAACATCCGAATACCATTTCACAACACAAGGCAAAATGAGGAAAAACTGCATCTCATTAAAACTCCAAAATGTATATCGTTACAACGAAAACGAAAATACAATAACACCAAAGCCAAAAATAACAACTGAGGCTACAAAGATGAAATAAGCTCACTCCTCGACCTGCTTGTCGAACCACTTCCTGAACTTCAACTTCATCTTTGCCTCTGGCTCCCAAGTCTCCTCTGTAGAACCACTGCAATCCCACAAAATCCTCAGTAAGGGAATCCTCTTGTTCCTCAGAACCTTTTCCCTCCTCTCTAAAATCCTCACAGGCACTGCCGGCACTGTCAAATCTGGCTGAAGATCCTCTGGAATCCTAGCCACTAACTCCTCTGTAGGGTGAAGACACTTCCTCAGCATCGACACATGAAAAACCTTGTGAAAGGCTTTCATAATCTCAGGCAACTCCAGCCTGTAAGCCAATGGCCCAACTCGCTCCACTACTGGAAACGGACCCATAAAACGCGGACTCAGCTTGTTCTCTGCTATGGATCTGTTAGGACCCCTCAACATAGCCATCTTGAGATAAACTCTATCTCCAACCTGAAACTCAAGCTCTCGTCTGCGTCTATCTGCATAACTCTTCTGCCTATCCTGAGCCTCCTTCATGTTCAGCCTCACAACACGAACCTTCTCTGTCGTCTCCTGAACATAAGTAGCTCCATACATGCTGCGCTCCCCCACTTGGGTCCAGCATAGGGGTGTCCTACATGGCCTCCCATACAAAGCCTCAAATGGAGCCATGCCAATACTCGCCTGAAAGCTGTTGTTGTATGCAAACTCAACTAAGCTCAGGTGATCTGCCCAATGGCCACCCCAATCCAACACACACATCCTCAGCAAATCCTCCAAAGTCTGAATAGTCCTCTCTGACTGACCATCTGTCTGCGGATGATAAGCTGTACTCAAATGCACCTTAGTGCCCATCTCTGCCTGAAACGCCCTCCAAAACTCTGAAGTGAATCTGGGATCACGGTCTGACACAATACTAGCTGGCACTCCATGCAGCCTCACAATCTCTCGCACAAACTTCCTAGCCAAGACAGCAGCTCCATCTGTCTTCTTGATGGCCAAGAAATGTGCAGACTTAGTCAACCGATCCACAATCACCCAGATAGCATCGAAAGTCCTCGAAACAGGTAGTCCAACCACGAAATCCATCGTAATCCTGTCCCACTTCCACTCTGGAATGGGTAAACTCTGCAAAAGACCACCCGGAACCTGATGCTCTGCCTTCACCAAGGCACAAGTGTTGCACTTCGCAACCCAGTCTGCTACATCCCTCTTCATCCCGACCCAATGATAGTACCTCTTGAGGTCATGGTACATCTTGGTCGCCCTGGATGAATGGAAAACTTGCTCGCATGAGCCTCTCCCAAAATCTGATGTCTCAACTCCACATCCTTAGGCACACAAACTCGCCCACGAACCAAGATAGTCCCATTCGCAGAGACCTCATACTCAGAACCAGTCACTCTAGTCGCATCCAGCAAACTCTGATCACTCTGCTGAGCAACTCTGATCCTGCTAAGTAGATCCGCCTGATCCACTGCCTCTAAACCCAAAGGCTCCTGCGAAATGGCACACAAACGCAAGGTACTGATCTCGCCAACTAGAGACTCCACATCTCGCTCAACTGCGGAATCATACCTCCGTCTACTCAACGCGTCCGCCACTAGGTTAGCCTTGCCCGGATGGTAGTTAATGCTCACCTGATAATCCGCCAAGAACTCAACCCAGCGCGTCTGTCTCGCGTTCATCATCGGCTGAGTGAAGATATGCTGCAAACTCTTGTGATCCGTGAAGACCTGTACTGTCTCACCTAGCAAGTAAGACCTCCAAATCTTCAACGCGAAGATCACTGCTCCCAACTCTAAGTCATGTGTAGGACGGTTACGCTCACTGCCCTGCCACTGTCTCGAAGCATATGCTATCACTCTGCCCTCCTGCATCAGCACACAACCAAGACCAATGCCTGAAGCATCTGTATACACCATGTAAGGCTTCCCTGGCTCGGGTAACGCCAACACTGGTGTAGTAGTCAACATCTCCTTGAGCTGACTAAAGCTCTCCTCACACTCAGCTGACCAAATAAAAGGGACATCCTTCCCGGTCAACTTCGTCATCGGCTGCGCCATGGTAGCAAACCCCTTGACGAACCTCCTGTAGTATCCTGCCAAACCCAGAAAACTCCTGATCTCGGTGGCACTACTAGGTCTAGGCCAATCTCTGATAGCCTCAATCTTAGCCGGATCCACAGAAACTCCCTCTGCAGAAACAATGTGGCCAAGAAATCCCATCTCTCGCTGCCAGAAACTGCACTTGCTCAACTTAGCAAAAAGCTTCTGCTCCCGAAGCTTCTCCAGAACCAACCTCAAGTGAGTCGCATGCTCCTCCTGACTCCTCGAGTATACCAGAATATCATCAATGAAAATGATGACAAACACGTCCAAATACTCCCTGAACACGTCGTTCATCAATCTCATGAAGGCTGCCGGCGCGTTAGTCAAACCGAAAGGCATAACCACAAACTCAAAATGCCCATAACGCGTCCTGAAAGCAGTCTTCCTGACATCTGCCTCATCTATCGGGATCTGATGATACCCGATGCCAAGTCAATCTTGGAGAACCAAGTAGCACCCCTCAACTGATCCAACAACTCATCAATCCTCGGGAGTGGGTACCTGTTCTTCACAGTGACTCGGTTAAGACCTCTGTAATCGATACAAAGTCTGAAACTGCCATCCTTCTTCTTCACAAACAACACCGGTGCTCCCCACGGTGAAACACTCGGTCGAATGAACCCCTTAGACAAAAGGTCCTCTATCTGCTTCTTCAGCTCTGCCAACTCAGCTGGCGCCATCCTGTAAGGCGTCTTCGATATCGGTGCTGTCCCCGGCTCTAACTCAATCGTGAAAGGATCAGACCGAGATGGTGGTAATCCCTTCAGTGACTGAAAGACATCCTCAAAATCCTGGACAACCTCAATATCTCCCATAACAACTCCAGCTCCTGACTCAGACATAGAAATCGTCGCCAGATACGCCTCACAGCCCCGCTCTAACAACTGCTCGGCCTGAATAGCAGATATCACAATACTCCCGGAAGTCGGTCTCACTCCCTGATAAACCAACCTCCCTGCATCTCGCTCGAAGACCACTCTACCTCTGTAGCAATCCAGATGAACTCTGTAGTGTGACAACCAGTCCATCCCGAGAATAACGTCATACAGCTCCACCGGACTGATGACTAAGTCTGCTGGCATTGACTGCCCCGCAATCTCGATCTCGACTCCTCTAGCACGGCCCAAAGTAGACAAGAATCCACCTCCCGCCACCTTGACCATGCCCGCGCTCTCGCCCGCGCTACTCCGGATGCCACTCTTCTCGGCACGCTCCGGTGTAATGAAGCAATTCGATGCTCCAGAGTCGAATAAAACGTGGGACTCAAAACCGCCCACTAACAAGGTCATTACGAAACACATGCGTTGAGAACCTCAACAATTTATCACAGATAAATGAACAACACACAACAACAACAACCATTATGCCCTCGATGGCCGCCACCACAAATGTGCATCTCCACTCAGATAGTGGACTGCCAACTCAACCTGGTACTAAACCAGAAATCTGATAGACTGGAAATTCCGCTCCAATCTCTGACGCCACTCATCTGCCGCCTCTGGGCTAACTCCGCCCTCAAAGTACGGCGTACCAATCCTCTGCATGTGCCCCACATATCCAATAGGACGGCACCATCAAACCCACAGCCTGCGGCTGAACAAACCCGCAGCCCTCTGCTGCACCTCTGCCACTGGAGGTACTCCCGGAGCCCCTGTGGAACCACTGGCGGAAAACGAGCCAATAACTGCGTCAGCAAACCCACCACTAAGTCATCAAGACCCTGAGCCGGAGCACCACCCCAACCCGGAGCAGCCCCGCTCCCAAACCAACACTCGCATCCACACTGGCCTCACTCGCCACGGATACCGACTGGGTCACCGACGCAGTCGCCACACTCGGCACCACACTCTCTCCCGAATCCGCCGAAGTCCACAATCTCGGCCCCGGCCTCCACGGCCTCTAGCTCTGCCACCACGGCCTCGAGCACCGCGCCCTCTCGCGCCACAACCTCTAGCTACTCAGTCCATCTCACTCATGGAACCGAAAAGAGCACACTAGAACACGCAACCAAAACTCAAAACAAACATAAACTCACCGCGGAATCTCTTGTAGCTGAAGGGGATGATACTAAAGCCTAGCAATTCTAACAGTCCTAAAACCGTCTAGGCTCTGATACCAAAATGAAACAACCAACATTTTTTTTTTTTAATAAATATAATCAATTCTAGCGAAGGTCTTTAAAATAAATTAAATAAATAAAATATCAATAACAAATAAATCAGCTCAGCGGAAGCAAATAATAATTAAACAAGTCTAGCAAAATAATGCAAAACAATAAAACAGTAAACATCCTATCATCCCCCTCTTCAGCCTTGATTCCGCGATCACACAAATCTTTTACCTGCAACACATTGGAATGGAGTTGCGTAAGTATTTAATAAATACTTAGTGAGGCAATCACTCTGCCTACGAGCCATTTACGCAATTTACTAGATATTTAATAATATTTATAAACTTCAATAATTATTAAACTCCAATAATTAATTAAAACCATTTCCAATTATTAAATAATTTTAATAATTAAAACTCAATTTCTCAATTATTAAATAATTCTCATAATTAAATAATAATTTTCCATATTTTAAAATAATTAAAATAATTATTTTAAATCAATTAATTAATTAAATTAACCATTAATTAATTAAATCCGAAAATAAATAATTTAATTAAACCAATTAAATTCAATTAACCAATTAACCAGAATCAAATCAATTAAACCAAGATAAACCAATTAAATCAATTAAATTCAATTAAACCAGATTAAACCACACAAACACACAATTCATCACATAAACAACCAAAATATCATAAAAATAACAATTAAAACATAAACTCATCAAGAACAACCACAAACCAAATCTAATCTAGCAAATCACGGACCCACAGTCATGCACTCACCTTGACAATGATTGAAACTGAAGGAAAGACAATGAACAGTGCCCCGATGAACAGTACCCCGATGAACAGTACCCCCCGATGAACAGTAAAACTCGAAAATCTCTCCAAAAACTCAACTTTTCTCCTCTACAGCATCTGAACTCGAAAATTCTCCAAAGAGAAGACGGCTGCACTCTTTAAACTTGATTTTAGGGCTTTCTCCACTAAACCGACCCAAACCAATTCACTTAAATTGAACCGACAAAATCAATTTATTTTTGGTTTATGGATGTTACAATAAATGCAATGATATAAGCATTATTCAAAGTAGAATTTATATTTTACTTGTTGCTCTCATTCTATTAACAGCAGAATATGATTTTGACGTTTTGTTCACTAGGTTACTATTCGTAGAACATGATGCCTAACTTATGTTCGTGGTAGAAAATGCTTTCTAACTTACATTCATATTTCTACTAGACATTCTATGGATATTGTATGTTCTACGAATCAGTTGAAAATGTTATCAAATATTTTAACCGTATTCTACCATTTGTAGAAAGCCTCTTCTACAAATAACACTAAACTCTACTGACCATAGAAATCATGTTATGTAAGAATCTGAGAAAATCTAGGCTAATATGGTAACTGAACATTTTCAAATGTTAACATTTTTTTTTTCCTCCCAAAAGAGGAAATAAAACGACATTTCCTTGTGTTCTTCTTCTTCCTTTTAGGGTTTATGTTGATGTTCCTCTAAATCATTTCTGATTTAGAAAGTGTATTAAGACAACAATTAATAGAAAAGTTTAGATGGACAAAAGAAGAATTTGTTTATCCTTTTTTTGCCAAATTTCTCTTTTAATTTTGAGTGATTTTTTTCATAAATTTTGACTATAATTAACAACTAGGGTTGGACCCACGCCCTGCATGGGGTGATATTTTCTTGATTAGTTTTATTTTTAGATATCTTTTTACATAAGTATTATTCTAGAAAAATAGGGTGTTAGACAATAAAAAAATATGTATTTTTGAGTGATGTATATTTTTTTAGCCTGGATTGGAACATGACGAAATATTAAGTAACACAATTGAATCCACATATATATCTTTTAATAAGTTTGAAATAGTTTTATATGGCATATATATTTAATATTTTTGATCAATTTTAAATAACTAAAATAGTTTTAACTTATATATTAAGTTATTAGATTTTATTATGATTTATTTATTTAGTTCAATTAAAGAACAAAATTAAATCAAATTAAAAAAAAATTAAAGTTTGGAAACCTAATAAATCAGTTTTTTACTATGGTTGATCATTATTTGGATCTTTTTTTTATAATAGGTTTTTGAACTATCATTCCAAAATATAATCGATATGAGACTTTTAACAATTTTAGAGATTTGTTTCATTTTAAAATTTTCAAATCATAGTATATGCAGAAAAAACTAATTTTGTTTTATGAAATATTTTGATGTAATGATATAATTTATTTTTGAAAAGTAAAGTTAAAAAAAATGATAAGATAATAAAATATAATTGAATAAAACTTTTCATATTTTACTGATTGATTGACTAATAAATACTTTTAAATTTATTTATAATTTTCGTCACTACCAGATAAGGAAATAGAAAAAAAAATTAATTTTAATTAATAATTATTTTTCTGATTCAATTATTAATAAATATTTTAGCACTTGCCTAATAAAGAAAGGTTATTTTTAGAATATTTTGAGAGTGTGGCAAATTGCGACACCTCAGCGTGGCATACTTGAAATTAAATTGAAAACACAGAGGAATTTTATAAATGTCTTCTCTTTTAATATATAAGGGATATGTAGAAGGTCAGACAATAAAATAGTATGCATGTTTAATGATAATGATGAATCTTTAAGTCTTTAATAGGTGAATCTCTTGCTTCAACCCGTTAACTTCAAACCTTGCTACTTCGATGAGTTAGTGTTATTTTGGGAAAAGGATAAAGTGGGTGTGTATCTCTCTCTTTCTCTTGTGTTGGCAGTTTCCTGGGAAGTCCATAGACTGTTGAAAGGAAGGTCAACCGCTCACGGACGCCGTTGGTGCAACTGCAGCCGTTTACGTTTACGCAGCCGCCATTTTGGAGTATCTAACCGCAGAAGTCTTGGAGCTGGCCGGTAACGCAAGCAAGGATCTGAAAGTGAAGCGTATCACGCCAAGGCAATTGCAGCTTGCTATCTGTGGTGACAAGGAGCTCGATATCCTCATCAAAAGAACGCAATTTCTACAATGGGCGATTGATTAATGTAAAATATTAAAATGAACAAATTAATATAACACAATATTAAAATGATACAAAATAAACAAGAATTAAGGAAACAAAACCGGATTTGCAGAGTCGAGATATGATCTCTTTCCTTAATTCTGTAAACGCCCCGTAGTGTGATGGTTGCATGGCGTTCCGAATCCCAGGATAAAACTGCACACTTCTTATGATTGCATCACTCAAATCATAAGCTTGCGAACCATGTTTTCTGTGATGTACTCTCATAAGAAAAAACAAAACAAAAGAAAGAAGTGAAGAGATTGTTGGTTTTCTTTTTGGTGTTTGATCACATGTAATCATGTCTTAAGAGAAGGAGGAGAGATATGGCTTTATATAGCCTCAATGCTTCAACATCACGAATGCAATAAAGGGAGATATTGAGCTTAATTGACATTGATTCACATTAAGTCATAGTTGTTTTAATTTATATAAAATTCAATTACCTTAATTTGTTGTTACAAACTCAATTAGAGACAATAAATATGTTGACTTAAAAGTCAAAAATTATTGTCAAAATTAAAAGATTAATTTTATTTGCCATTCATGAAACATTAATTTGGTTTCATAATCTCTTTTCATAACACTTAAGTGTCTTCAAGATTTAAACTTGTTATAATTCTCCACTTTATATACAAGAGGATTTCACCTCAAACTTCCAATATGGGACATTTCATAAAATGTTACATTTTATGCTATACAAGCAACCCACTTGGACCTCCATTTCTCATTCAAACCAACTTCATTTTTGACATATAAATATACTATCAAAAATGAGTTCCAACAATCCCCCACATGAATAGAAATGACTCTAGACACTGGACGACTCAACTCTAGACTTGACTCTCTAGACAAGACTCAAAAAGACTCAAAAAACGACTTTTGAGAGTACAAGCGAAAAATCCACTGTATATGAGTTGGTAGCATTTTTCAGCCTTGAACCAAATCACTGTCATAAACTATCGGATTTACTCGACCAAGAGGTGAACATGATGTCTTGAACCTCTCGGGCTTTGATGTAAACCGAGACAATAGCTATAACACAGCTTCATTCTCTCACAGAATCAGGTTCTCTATTGTGTTCATTTTGGCCGTGAACTTGCCTGGATAATCATGAGTGAACTTGGAGAATATAGCCTTTTATTCTCCTAGAAACGGCCCCATTTCACACTCACAAGGTGATTCGCCATTAACTTTGTTTAAAGGAGTATCCTGCATTACTCCATGTATATTTCAAAGTTATGGACCCAAATCATTAAAAGCAAAAGCTTATCCTCTACACCATACAGGTAGCACTGTTCATCATCCTAGGAACTGGGTAGAGACATGAGTCTCCCAGTGCTAGTTGATTCAGTTTGACTTAGTTTTCCCCTTGAACCTATTTCATGGGATCTCCAATCAGTTAGGTAGGGTTACCATCAAACTCCTCTTAAGTCATAGGCTTTAAACCCATTCCTCTTGATGATTTTACAATTTGATCTCATGACACACCTTTAATTGGATCCTAGGTTGTCATTCAAGTAGATATAATCTATTAAGATTATTCCATTTGAGATCAATTGTTTAACAATTTTAGGAGTGGCATTGCAACTTTTGCTATGCACCCCCACACTTTTAGGTATTTGTACAAATGTACTTTACCTTTCAAAGCTTATATGACATTTTGTCAACTTTATGTGGTAAACAATGTTTTTCCCCCACATTTCTTGAGATAACTCAAAAATATGCACTTTGCATTTTCACATTTTAAGTTTAAACAATGGCTAGAAAGATCAATATCTTTTGTAACCAATTTTAAACTCTTTTCCACAGAATTTGTCTAACATTAGTCTTGTGTTTACAACACTAAGCACTAATATGACAATATGATAAATATCATAATTTGGTACAATCACAAGTGGAAGACCATTACCAAAATAAATTTGGTATGTCAACTCACTAAACTTGTTACCAATAACCCTTCAACCATTAATGTATGGGTCAAAATCATAAATGGTAGACCACTCCCAACATGGGGTATCAACTCATTTGATTTTTCACTTTAGAAACATTTTTGTAAATGTTCTAATTTTTGGTAACACTTCTTTGATTCAATTTGCACACATCAAACCTGAATCATCATACCAAAAATATTAGAAATATATCAAATATATATTAAGCAATTTAATCACTTCTGAAAATTGCAACAAATAATTAAATTAAAACTCCAAAAAAATTCAGGAATTAACAATTTAATTAAATGCATAAACAACAATTTATATCAGAATTAGTCAACTGAGAAATCAATATTTTAATGCAAGAAATCGTATGCATTTTACCACGATTCAATGCAGCAACAAATATTATCATAAAATGCATTGACCAAATAATTCCAACATATGACTAAAATAATCAAAAGATTCATTAGAGTAAGGAAATTTCAGAGAGAAATTTCGATCAAACAATTATGCAATAATAAAGCATATATGATTCCAAGAACTAAAGAAATCTCTGCAAAATAATCTGAAAATGAATCCAATTTCCAGAACATAGTTCTTCCATGAACACCTGCAAAAAATCATCAAATTAATTTCTGAAACACCAGAAAATTAATTCCATAAAATTATGATAACCTGCAAAAAATCATCAAAATAATTTCTGAAACACCAGAAAATTTAACCATAAAATCCTGATAATCTGCAAAAACAAATCATCAGAATAATTTCTGAAAAAAAGAAAATTAATTCATAAAATCATGATAATCTGCAAAAAATAATGGGGAAATTACCAATTCTAGACCACAATTTGATTTTTTCTAGTCAACTAGACCACAATTTGAATCAAATGCAAAACTAACCTCTTTGGGTAGTAAAATTACCCCACAAGCCCTCATGACCAAACAAAAAAACGCATGCCTCGATTACGATTATAACCTCCGGAGCAGTAGATCTACCCCATAGATCTACCTGGTAGACAATGTTAGAGGTCTACCTCGTAATAACATCTTAAATTTTAATTAACAATTAAATAAAAAATATTTTTATACAAACACAAGTATGAATAATTCTAATATAGACATTATCATATACAAAAAATATGAATGCATACAAATGAATGATTTATAGATAAGCAAAGACATGAATATTATATAAAAATGTGTGAGGTCTACCGAGTAAGTCTACTATATCATTAAATTTAATTTTTATTATAAAAATTTAAAAAATATTTTGATGGAAAATTATTTATACATAATTACAATACAGACAACTTGCATCTATCTAAAATATAATTTCATAGATTTGAACCAACTGAACTATGAAAAAAACAAATTAGGTTAAAAGCCTATAAAACCATGAGAGGTCTACCAAGTAAGTCTACTAAATAATCAAATCTTAAATTTAAATTAAGAAAATTTAAAAAATAATTTGAAATATTTGTTTCACAAATAACGAAATAATAGACATTTAACATATATTAAAAATAAAATTTCATAAAAAATCATGAATCTATAAATATCATATGTAAATAGTTCATAAGGATAAGAGTTTGAGTAGATTGTTTAGGGTTAATGGGTAAGTTGTAGGGTTTTGAAAAAATTTAGATGAAGAATTGTTTTTGGTTGGTTTTACGATTCAATGTTTGTTTATTTGTGATATACACTGTAAATTGACAATATGGCAAGCAAATCGTTGCAAAATTGTATCTAAATTATTCGATTTAGGGTTTAGGGTAAAGTAGACCTAACAAGTAGACGGATCGAGTAGACCGAAGTGGAGGTCTACCAACCGTTTTAACCTAGCGGGAATCCCGAAATTTACAATTCAAGTAGACCGAATTGGTAGACCTCAACATAAATTTAATTAAACCGGAATTTTCTACTTAAACCGGAAAATTTATCCCTTGTATAAAAGTAAAAAAACCCTAATTTTGTTAAAAAACTGAAAAATATCTCGGCTCTCTCTTTTTCTCTCTCGCCGCGCTCTCTCTCTCTCCCGCCGCCATCGCCATCGCCATCTTCTTCTTCTTCTTCTTCTTCTTCTTCTTCCTCCTTATCTGATACCAAATCAGATCTGAAGCTTTTCTGTGATAGATGGAGGTTCTGTTTTCTCAGACCTACTCTGAAATCCTCTAGATCTAAAGTATCGCTTCTCTTTTTCACTTGCCTCTCCGCCATCTCGTCTTCTCTTTTATCTCTCTCTGCTGCTCACTATTCCTCGCATCTTCCCTCCCACCTTGGATCTCTCACGCTGCGAGGTTAATCTCTCAGATTCAGTGTTTGAAATAACAGTTGCTTTGCTCAGATCCTGTATGAATCGCTCATAGTATGTGCAGCTCTATCTCTCTAATGTTCTTCTAATCTGTCTGCATCTGTCTCTGTTTCAGCCTGATTTGTCTTATCGAGCTCCAGGTCTGAAGACCAAGAAGTCGGCATGAGTTCTTCATTCCTCCCAAAATTCAGGCTCTAAGAGGTGATGATTCTCAATTCTCTCTCTCTCTCTCTCTTTCCAATATGTCATTATGATAGATTATCTTCTTTTTCTGTGTTTTTCTGCATCTATGGTTTATGGTGATTTGGTTTTTTATCTTGTCGGATTAGTGACCAGATCGACAATGATCAGAAACTGTAAGACCTTACTCTCTTGTTTCACCTTCCTTCTTTTTTTTAGCTATCGTAAAAAATATTGCTCCTGTGATTGATGTTTGTCGATGCTAGCTTCAAAAATTCTAAGTCTACTAGTCCCAAATTTGCCTTTATTAGCTAAAAACGCTTTTGGATCTTCTTCAAATGCTCAATGCAAAAATTGAGTTACATTTCGGATTCTAGTTAAGTTTTGTGGTCTTATGGGTATAGATCTTTATTGAGCTTTGATATCTGTCTTTTCTTCTAGATTTATTCAAAAAGCTTGCTATTTTGTGTTTGTTTGATTTCCTTTGATTTTTACATTAATGCTTTGGTTGATATCTTTCCTCCCAATCTACATAACAAGCTTTGGGTTTGACAAATACTTTGCCATGTTGTTTCAGGATGTTGTAACTGTGAACGAATTTGTGAAGAAAAGCCAAAAATCAGTATACCTGGAAAGGTTTGCTGCAATTCCAGCAACGTTGGAGGAGCTACAAGTAAGCTTTTTCTTCTTTCTTTATTTGAAATCCTTTTTCTTTGATTTGCAAATCCTCATTGGATAGTGTTCATTTGATGATGCAGGAAAAAAAGGTGTAAAGACAACAAGCTTGTTATAACTGCAGAAAGGTGAGCCGCCTTGTATAGGCTATGATAAAACAGTAGCTAAAGTAGAATTTTAGATTGGTAAATAACATTTTCGCTTTAATGTTGAATACGTAGTCTCTTATTCATGCTTATTGTGAAGACCTAAGCTTAGCTCTAATCACAAATATCCGTATTTCGAGCTTGAATCATTTGGAAGCATTGTTTGAAGTAGTTTCTGATTCATCATTCCTTTTTGTCCTGTCTATTGGAAAGGCTTGTGCTTGTGGGACTAATGTAGGTGTTTGGTTTATACTGCAGCTTCCTAGCATTGCTGTTGAACGTGGAAATGCAAGCATTGTTCATCAAATTGCAGAAAAATGGAATTTATATTCCAAAGGAGATGTATGCTCAAGAAGAAGCTGAGAAAAAGGTGCATTTTTCTCTTTTGTTTTATAATGAATCTCAAGATCTTGAACTCTTGCGGTTTTCCTCTTATGTAGAGAGACTTGTTTCATTTCCTCTCGGAGAACTTGCTAACGTTTTTTGTTTTACTGATTGAAATTTTGTTAGGCGTCTAAAGATAAGAAGAGCTTGGATGTTGGTGCCAACCTCTTCATTGGAAACCAAGCCCTTCATTGGAAACCAATATGCATGCAAGATTACACAGAAGCTGCCACAGTTGTGTTTCTATTCTGCGTTGCAGATGGAAGCTTTGCTAAAGCCAAGCCCTTTTCTTAGTTTAAGTACTTTTCGTTTTAAGTTTAAACACTTGTTGCTTTCGAATTTGAGCTTTTTAGATTGTAAGACTTTGCATTTGCACTTCTAGTGATTGTGTGTTATTTCAACAAGTTCATGAATACTCGAAAATAATACCTCAGGTGTAGACCTCTAATATAGATCTCCAATTAATACAATACAAGACAAACTTACATAAAAAAACTCAAAACAGAACGAAGTAGATTTTTACGGTAGACCTTACAGGTAGAGAAAAGACGTAGACATTTTTAGTAGACCTTGATATCAGTCTACTAGTGCTATAGTAGACCTTTTATTTTGCGAAGTAGACCGATTCTTATGTCTATCTTTGCGAGGTAGACCGATTCTTGATTTTGCGATATGTGTATATTTGCAAACATGTGAACAAGAGATTTTCTCAACTAGGAATACACCACATTCACATGAACGGTTTTCCAAATTACTAAGGTGAAGTGCATCTATATTCAAAGTTCAAATTACTAAGGTCACATGAATACTACACATCTCATTATCACCAAATTTCCAGCCTTAAAGAAAAAAACAAAAATTATAACAGATTAGTAGACAGAACGGTTTTTCATCATCATCCATAAACAGAAGCTAGACAAATCATTATCTGCAACAAAAACAAACCAGACCACAAAATGGATAGTAGACAGAAGGCGTAGACCAACAGGTAGACCCACAATTTGGTCTACCAGAAAATTAAGCTAGATACCTAATTCAAAAGAAAACCGAATATAGCCTTAATTACGCCGAAAGAACATTTCAAACTCACACAGAAGCAAGTAAACAAATAAAAACAACTAATTGTTCGAGAAATTTCAAAATATTTGAATATTGAAAGGAAAACGACATTTAAAAAACACATAATAATAGACCTAAAACGTAGACGTTCGGAGTAGACGTTCACGGTAGACCTCCACTTAGGTCTACTCCACGTGGAGGGTTAGTTTTGCAATTGATCGAGAAAAATGTTTTTTTGGAGGTCTACCTTGTCGGTCTACTACACGTGGAGGGTTAGTTTTGCAATTGACCAAACGTTGACTTTTTCACAAGGTCTACCGTGTAACGTCTACCAGAAAACGTAGACCTCTCAATCGGTCTACCAAAAAAAGTAGACCTCTGAATTAGTCTACGCCTTAGGTCTACCTACCGAAAACAGTTTGTTTTGCCGTTGACTCAAGTTTGACTTTCCTGGGTAGACTTCCGTGGTAGACCTCAGTTTTTTTGCGTTGACCAGTAGACCTCACTGCGGTCTACCGGATGGTAGACCTACACGGTAGACCTCAATGACGCAAAATCTCTCCTTTTTGAGGAAAGTCAAACTTGAGTCAACGGCAAAACCAACTTTTTTTTTTAGGTAGACCTAAGAGGTAGACCTCCAATTGCAAAACTAACCCTCCACGTGGAGTAGACCGACAAGGTAGACCTCAAAAAAAACATTTTTCTCAATCAATTGCAAAACTAACCCTCCACGTGGAGTAGACCTAAGTGTAGGTCTACCACTCATTTTTTTTGTTTGCAAAGGAAATGGCACAGTCAACTCTGCGTTGACCAGTAGACCTAAACTGAGGTCTACTATGTAATGGTAGACCTACACTTCAGTCTACCTTCGGACCAAAACTGAAATTCTTAGAATTTTGAAAGAAAAGTTACTGGCCGTTGGAGAAAGGCTCTTCAAGGGCTGATAACTTCAATTTAGGTCTTCAATTACGAGTTCCGGTCATCACATAAGCTAAACAATTGGAAATGCCAAGACCCAAGATTTGAGTTTTCTTTTAAGTTTTTGGGATGAAAATGGAGAGAAAATGGAAGAATAAGAGTTTGTGAGATGAAAGAAGGAGAAATGCTAGCTCCAAAGTGAGTTTTCAGAGCATTAACAGCTCCAAATTGGGTAAAAATGGTGGTTGTCAACATTGATGAAATGGCATTTTGGCAATTAAGTGTAGAAGATGAGGGGTGTTTGGTCTTTCAGCAGATCTGGTAGACCTAAATATCGGTCTACCAATCGAAAAAGTAATGGCATTTCGTAATTAATTGGAAAAAACTGGACAAACTTAAAATGAAAAAACAGGAGGTTACTTTTGCATTTGACCACAATTTTGGGTCTAGAAGTGAAACAATCCCAAAAATAATTAGAATAAATTTGCAGAAAATTGGAAAATTAATCCAATTAATCCAGAATTTTCAGTTCCTGTTTTCATAACAAAAATACTTCACAAAAATCAGTTTTCGTTAGTGCAATAAGCAAAAACGAGAACGCAATTTCTACAATGGGCGACTGATTAATGTAAAGTATTAAAATGAACAAATTAATATAACACAATATTAAAATGATACAAAATAAACAAGAATTAAGGAAATAAAACCGGATTTGCAGAGTCGAGATATGATCTCTTTCCTTAATTCTGTAAACGCCCCGTAGTGTGACGGTTGCATGGCGTTCCGAATCCCAGGATAAAACTGCACACTTCTTATGATTGCATCACTCAAATCATAAGCTTGCGAACCATGTTTTCTGTGATGTACTCTCATAAGAAAAAACAAAACAAAAGAAAAGAAGTGAAGAGATTGTTGGTTTTCTTTTTGGTGTTTGATCACATATAATCATGTCTTAAGAGAAGGAGGAGAGACATGACTTTATATAGTCTCAATGTCTTCAACATTTTCTCACGAATGCAATAAAGGGAGATATATGAGCTTAATGACAATTGATTCACCATTAAGTCATAGTTGAATTTTTATGTTATATAAAATTCAATTCCACCTTGAATTTGTTGTTACAAACTCAATTAGAGACAATAAATATGTTGACTAAAAGTCAAAAATTATTGTGGCAAAATTAAAATGATTAATTTTATTTGCCATTCATGAAACATTAATTTGGTTTCATAATCTCTTTTCACTAACACATTTAAGTGTATTCAAGATATTAAACCTTGTTATAATTTCTCCACTTTATATACAAGAGGATTTCACCTCAAACTTCCAATGTGGGATATTTCATAAAATGTTACATTTTATGCTATACAAGCAACCCACTTGGACCTCCATTTCTCATTCAAACCAACTTCATTTTTGACATATAAATATACTATCAAAAATGAGTTCCAACAATTCCACACATTCACAACTCTCTCATCGACAAATCTGGCAAAGAATAGCCTTTTCTCGATAATTTGTGTCTCTATGTCTCTCGAACCCTTGTTTTAACAGTCCTATGTATTTTTAAGCCACTCTTAGGATTGTTTGTTTGTTTGTTTTGTTAAGAACCCATATGTGGCTCGTTTCTCGTTCTGATTAACGTTTTAGGCGTTTTATTGATATGAAAACAGCCGCAAAGAAAACCAATCTAAGAACTCGACTTGACTGATAACTAAACTATTTGCAAAGATGGATTACACTTGTGTTTTTCTTTCCGGCAACATTGTTTTTTCTTTGACAACAAAAAACTGCCAAGTCGTTTCTTTATGTACACTATGCCCTAAGTCCAACGTGTCTAAGTTAATGCCACCTAAGGACACAAAAAGGAGTGGCATCAGCTAGATTTCAAAAACTAAACCAAAATCCGACAAGTGATATTTTGTGCTGTTGAGCCAAGGGACTTGCATTCTTGCTCCTATCCTCTGATTTCTTGATGGTTTTTGCTCCTGAGCCAGTTAATATCCTTGGCTTGTTCCTACAAAGGATGAGGAAAGAAGATAAAGACTGGGAAGGACATCAAAGATGTGTTCATACATTACTATGAAATGAGAATAAAGAGCAGACCTCGAATAACCTCTTCAACTGCGATTCTGACTTTGCCTGAAGAGCGTGCCATTCCCATGCCATCATGTGTACAGCATGGTTGGGCTGCGCGCAGTGTGATGTAGCAACGGCTTTTCTCTTTTGAAACAAAGTTAGAAGAACAAAGACTGTGTGAGATCACAGGTTATGTAAGACTTTTGAGAGCGCTGAGGTAAAGACAAACGCTTGACATGACTATTGCAATAACTTGCCTTCTGAATGGACATCTGAGCTTTATCCACCAGAGTAAAATGTCCAGTAAATCTTTTACATTCTCCGACTTCCTTTGGGGCATTTCTACTAGCCACTAGAGGTCTGCGAAACGATCATATATATAAGAGAAAAAGGACAACAAGAATTTGATGAAGTTTTCACATCTATGAGAGATAGAAAATGACCTTTCGTCAGATAACATCAGGTACCCTTCAGTTAACCGAGACAGGGCCTTATCAGCTGCTCTTGTGGTGCCAAAAATCACAAGAGCCTTACCTGATCACATAACGCAGTTAAATTTGTTGTCAATGCCAGTTATTTACAAAGGAAAAAAACAATCTTGAGCTTACAACAGCAAAAGGGTTGGTCTAAAGAAGATGTACCATTATGTGGGCTAGACAGAAGACTTGCTGGGATCATCCTTGCATCAACTCGTTCGTTGAAAGCTTGCCAACAAAGATCCTGCACACACCAAAAAGGAAATCCCGATGAGTTTTACTATGTTTCGTCTTTGATCAACATGTATAGATGGACTTGCGTTGTCAACATTGAATAGGATGCATAAACGATTGTTCTGAAAAATAACTCTAAAAAATATGGCAACACATATCAAAATACTGTCAATGGTTCCATATCAAAATTAAATGGCATTGAGTGTGATTTCCTCTTTAAGATGAAAGCTCTTTTGACCAATTCATCTTGCACTAAATCCCACATTGGGATCAGTTACTCCATAGTAGGATCACATACCTCCACGTCCAGTGATGTGTATGATGGTTCCAGGTTCTCAAATAAGAGCAACCTGTCTTTCTCTATAGCCTCTTTTAGTTCGTCCTCAAAAGGCTGGAAAAAGGAATACAGCAATGTCAAATGAGGAAACGGAATTGACTTTAGTATAGCTTTGGTTTTTTCTGAAGCCGCTGAACTAACTTTATCTTAACTATTTCCTAGTTTCTCTGAATCGTAATGATACACTGATCTGATTTCGTGTGATGAAAGCTAGTAGCTATTGGAATCAAAAGTTTTAGATTCTTCTTATAACCAAAACATGATTGTAATGCATCTCCCCCCAATGAAAGGAAAATCTAAGTTTGAGGCGTCAGAGAACTTACCAGTTTCTTGAACCAGCTGCTTTTATCCTGTAAGGCAGAGAAAAGGAGAGAAATAATTTAGAAATGTCGTAAGTGAATAGTATACACTAAACTGTGAATACTCTTTGTGCTATGCTGTAAATTGTTTATATTTCTCTTAGCTAATCCACTGAAATAGCAAAGAGAAAGCTTTTTCACAGCAGTAGTGTACGTACAATGTTCTGACTTGGAGCTTTTACTACAAGAGGAGGATTTTTAATGAATCTTTTCTCTTCTGGTTGATGGACTAAACCATATGAATCAGCTGGTTCTGTCATGCTGAGTCTAAGCTTCCTCTTTTTAGAAGGCGTGGGATTGACTGATGAACCTGGAGCAAGTAAATCCCCTGATGCTCTAGATTTGGTTCTCGGACATCCTGACGTGACATCAGTATTGACAGGAGGGTTCTTCTTCAAATGCTCACGACTAGCACTATCCTTCAGAAACAAGTCTTGCAAAATGAAGGTTAATGTCAATCTGGTCTGCCCATTTCACAACTAACTATCACATAAGAGGCCAGAACATAAGAGGAAAAAGGATCAACCTTTCTTTACCGGGCTTGTTCTATCTCTGTTAATTTTTTTTCCTAGCTTTGTTGATCCTGAATCTGGATGAAAAGGCTTCACTGGAGACGGCCTGGAACTGCCAGCTGCAGTTGAGTTTAGACGTTTTAGAGGCTGTTCTTCTCTTTTCTTGTTGAAGAGTTTCTCCACTGCATAATTAGAGCCAAAAAAAGTGAAATATGCTTCATCAGATCCATATTCGAATTGCATTAGGAGTTGAACAATAAAGCTTTGAAATTTTGTTCTATCCCAGACCTCCAATTCCAGCAATTGCATCTGCAAAGTCTTTTGATATGATTTTCAGTCTTGTATCGAAGGTGCAGGTGAAGAGGTAGTTAGCCATCCTCCTCTCATCTTTTGATGGATATCGGTTTTTAGGGTGCCTCGATTGGCATACAACATTGCATTTTCCCAAGATCGCCTCCTGGACCAACAACACATGAAGCTTAAACTCATCTTACACACATAAACATATCGATTTTGTAAGAAGAAAGGGAAAGATAAATGAAAAGCCAGCAAAGTTACCACATCGTTGATATTGGAAACCCCCAAGTCATCACCACAAGCCAGAAACAACTCATCCCATAGTGGCTCATATTTTCCCAAGAAGCTGCGGATGTCAATAGGTCGAAAAAACCAAATGACCTTGACTTTCTTCTCACCTGTTGATGTCTCAAACATCTTGACAAGCTTCCCAATAGAAGTCTCGCATTGACCACGTACGCAGAAATAAGCACAGTCGAAAAGCCTGTATTCGATGCCATCAAAGGTAAATGATTCATAGAATTTGACGTTTTTATCTTTCTGTCCCAACCCTTTCATTTCACCCCACTTGAAGTCAGGGCTCTCTTCTCCATCGGCATCACTTGATTGCAACATAGAGAATCCACTTAGCTCGAACAGAGATCTTCCCAAACTGTCCAAGAGAGAAGAAGATACAAAGTACAATAAGATGCAACAAAGTGAAATCAGAGAGTGTAAGATCATGCAAAAGTTTGAGTTTTGGACCTAAGGCGTCTTCAACCTCTCACGCAACTTTGCAAGCACCTCACTAAAGCAATGCCTTAAGTAGGGACAGTCCAATGAACACTAACAATCCGAAAAATTTTACAAAAAGGTTGTCAAAAGCAAACTCCACGAAATGAATCACAAATGTCAACAATTTCATCCTAATAAACCTAAGCACTATCATGGTTTGAACAGTAGCAGAACAGATTCTACAATCACAAATAATACATATCCCAGAAATTGAAGGTGAATGCTGTATAATCAAAGCTAGTTTGTGAGTAACTACGCAATCATACAAATCTGCACCCACAAAACCAAGCGAATCCAAAAATTTCCGCTTGAAAAAAGCGCCTAGTGTGAGAGATAAGCTCCAAATAGCAACAGATTTCGACGTTCTAAAGCGATTGCAAGGCTCGATTACAGTAGGAATCGACCGATAATCCCCTTTACCAAGTAAAGGAAACATGCAAAACGGAGATGCAGCAGTGAAATTTTTGAAATACAAGAGACAATCCGTAAAGAGCATCGCTGGGTTTTAGCAATGTCGAGCAGAAAATAAGCAAATGCCGGAAGAAACTCACGTTTATCAACAGCGATGCCGGCAGAAACGCTATGTACGGACGTTGCAGCTGGGTATTACAAAAGCGACGTGAAATCAGAAGACGGAAGCTCGGAAACTTCTCTCCGGGACGATTTTAGGTCGCCGGAGCTGTTTCACAGAGAGGAAAGAGGGTTTGGAAGAGGAGATGAGCTGAGAGCGAACATGAAAGGGGGTTTTGAGGTTTTGCATAAAAGCTGGAAAAGGTGAGAGTGACGAAGCGACGATCCTTCATGGAAATTTCTGGACTTTGCTTAATTACGAATTTAATTACTGTAATTAGTAAGTTTTCTCACCGCT